GTAGATGATGTCTTGTATAGTTTACCAGTGGGTGAACTTATGAAAGAAGCTTCGAGACAGCTGCAAGGAATTGCTGAGAGCGCTCAGTTGAAATTCAGAAAATGGGCGTCAAATGTTCCAGAAGCTATCGAGATGATTCCTGAAGAGGACAAATTGATAGCGATTGAGAAGGAAATTCGTGATGATGAAGTGTCAGGAAAGGCAGGAATTTTAGGACTTTCTTGGTTGATAGATTCGGATGAGTTATCTATTAAAATGAATAAATTTCGGCAGCTTAAAGAGGGAGAACCATTGACATTGAGGTTTGCACTGTCCCAAATTGCAACTGTTTATGATGCAATTGGGTTGTTGAGTCCATTATTTTTGACTGGAAGATTAATAATCAAAGAGATTTACAAAGAATTGCTCAACAACAAGCCGTTGAAAAAAAGAGACAAAAGATTAGACATTTCACTTTCAGAGGAATTGAGAAAGTTATGGTGTGTCTGGAGTGAAGATTTATGTGCCATCAATGATTTGAAAACTCCAAGATGGATTAGACATGTTCCAGGCAACAGACTGTCTATTATAGCTTTTGCTGATGCATCATTGGATGGTACGGGATCAACAATTTACTCTCACTCAGAAGGGGAGGGTGAAATACATGTCAATTTACTAATGGCTAAGTCCAATATAAAGCCAAGTGGGGGAAATTGGACAATTCCAAAATTGGAACTGAAAGCTATGGAGAAAACTGTTGAGTTAGCCATGGATGTAAAGAATGCAGTTCAAAAAACGCTCAAACGAGGTAATTGCGATCAAGAAGTTGAGGTTTATTTCTTTTCAGATTCGGAAATTACGCTTGCATGGTTGCAAGGTAATCCAAATGATAGAGCTACATTTGTGAGAAATCGACTCAACAACATTAAAAAAGTATGTTCAAAAGGAAATTACTACTACATCGATACAAAATTAAATCCAGCAGATTTGGCAAGTCGCAAATGCAAAGCGGGAGATTTAATTGATAATCCATTATGGTGGCATGGACCATCATTTTTGACTGAAAAGGGGGCATTAGGAAAGCTTGAAGAGCGCCTCTACGAGACCATTGTAGAAAATAGGTCAAAACCAAAAGAAACAGAGGCTCGAGTAGCTAAGGTCAGCCATGAGATATCTGTGGATGCCATCATTGAGATTGCTAACAAGATATCAGGTTGGGTTGGTACTTTAAAAAGGATTGGGTGGCTACGTAGAACCGTCGTATGCTTTAAAACTCCGGGGACTCGTCACAAAGATTTGTCTGGGATGGAGTTAGAGGAAGCTAAGTGGGCCATCATCAGAGCTTATCAACGTCAGGCATATAACACAGAGCTTGATACGCTGTCAAACGGAAAAGACATCAAGACAGGACTATTGGTGGGTAAGTGCGCATTTATTGATGATAATGGTGTGCTTCGAATTCGTTCTAGGTTACAAAACGTAAAACCCTTGGAATGGTCGCAAGTTTGTCCAATCGTATTGCCAAAACTCAACATTGATCCAAAAACAAGCGATGAAGACTTTAATAAAGTATGTCCTTTAACAATGAAGCTGATTCTGTATTTTCATTTGGAAGTAATGCATGGAGGAGTCGACAAAGTTCTGGCTGCTTTAAATCAAGAATTTTACTTGCCAAATGGAACGAGAACGGTCAAGAGTATGATTTACAGATGTGTAAAATGTAGAATGCACAAGAAGCAGGTTCAACATCAACTCATGGGGAGCATACCAATGGAGAATGTTACACCATCACCACCATTCTATCATGTGTCGTGTGATGCTTTCGGACCACTCCAGATCAAGCACCAACCTGGAAAACGCACGCGTCTAAATGCTGATGGTGAGGAAAGACCAGGGGGCAAGGCATGGGGTATCATATTTGTGTGTAGAGCTACCCGTGGAGTTCACATTGAGGTTGCATCAAGCTTGTCTGCTGAGGAATTTCTAATGTGTTTTAGAAATTTTGTAGCGACACGTGGTTTACCTAGGTCTGTATTGACAGATAATGGTACGAATTTCAAAAAAGGCGGCGATATGTGTGTAAGTTTGACCTCAGCAGAGCTCACAAAGCAACTTAGAGCAGCATGTAAGTCAAAAAAGGCTAATGCTAATGCAGCAAAGGTAATAAATAAGTATCTCAGACGTGATTCTGAGATGGAGTCAATGCAAGAGGCTATTGACTATGTAGAGAGTAAGTACAAGGGGCAACAGGTAATTTTCTTAAAAGGAAAAGGTGATTTGTTAAAATTTAGTTTGTCACCATGTTACAGTCCTTGGTTTAATGGTTTAGCAGAATCGGAAGTAAAAGTTGTGAAATCACATTTAGTTAAAATCATTAGAACAGTTTTGCTTAATGCAGCTGGGCTTCATTCAGTTTTGAAGAGAATTGAAGCTGTGATTAACAGCAAACCGATAGCTGTCACGAAATCTGATGACAATTCACGTCCGTTGGTCATTACTCCAGCTCATTTTTGGGCTTCGCGTCCTTTAGTGGCATTGCCATCAGGACCTATTCCAAAAACAAATGGTCAGGCTGTGGAACTGACCAAACGAGCCATTATGATGGATAAACTTGTTGAAAAGTGTTGGGAAGTTGTCCAGAATAAGCATTTCAATGAGTTGAAGTCCAGGCATAAATGGTTTAAGAGAGTTGAAAATCCTCAAGTAGGGGAAGTCGTGCTGTTAAAAGACAAAAACAGCAGCGTTAATTGTTGGCCTAAGGCAGTTATTACCAAGATACATCCTGGCAAGGATAAGATTGTTAGAGTAGTCACTGTAAAGAATTCATTAGGTCATACACATGAAAGAGCAATGACGGAAGTAGTCACTTTGCCTATCATTGCTAATATACAGTCCAACAAAAATAATGAGGCTACTGATAAAATTGATCAGAAGTTGATAAAAAAGCAAGAAAATAAAGTTGAACAGCCTAAAAGACAAAGTGCTAGATTAGCAGCTAGAAATTCTAGCAAAACGTTAACATTTAGTTTGTTAAAATTCATTGTATTAATTAGTTTCGTACCAATTGTTTTAGGCAGGGTGTTAATACCGCAAAAAGCGTTTGGTGGAGCTATGGTGTTCGATATTGCGACAACATGGAGGAAAGCAGGTGACATTAAGTGGGAAGTCAGCACTGGAATGTATCCACAACAAGATCACGAAACTATTAAACGAGCAATGAATAGTTATGAAGTCCAATGCAATCGTGCAAGCGGATTTTCAAAGTCTATATGTACAGCAAATCTTGATGTATTGAGAGCTTCATCTGATAATGTTAAACGACTCATTGGAGAATTTAAACAACCAGAAAAATCAGAAAGACGCAGTAGGTCTAAGAGAAGCACTGATAATGAGGGAATTGTTACACATCTATGGAGACTTTTGTTTGGTTATCATCAGAATAAGCCTAGTTATGAGGCAATTCAACATCTGTCAAAAGCACAAGAGTTAGCAAACAAACATCAAAAAAGCATTGAAGAGAAGGTAAACAGCCAACTGTTAATATTGACGGATGCAGTAAATGAGTACGAAGCGACGTGGGACAATAGAGATGCAGAATTGAAACAGGCTTTGCAGTTCCAACACGTTCATAGTCTCATCAATGAGCATTTTGAGTATATTTTTGAGAAGTATACTGAGGCAATAATCACAAACGAAGAAATTCAAACAATGATTGGAAAATTAAAAGCAGATCAGATCCATGTTCCAAACATAAGATTAGAACAGTGGAGAGAAATGTTTGACATAAAGATCGTCCTAAAGAACAGTCAAATAATTTACGAAGTAGTGTGGCCGATTCTACATGAAGATACATTAAAAGTATTCAAAGTAATTCCAACGCCAACGGTTGATGGACAAATTTTAGATTTTGAACCACAAATCGTGATTATGAATCCCGTCACAAGTATGTACGTGAAGGAGTTTCGATTGATAAATCAGATTAACGTCACACATCAAGTGATTGAAGCTTCAAGATTAATGAAATTGTCTAAAAAGTCAGCGTGTCCAGTGGCAATTACAATGAATGAGATGTCAATATCATGCGTTTATAAAAAACTACCTGAAGAATATGATTATTGGGTTAAGGTTATTCCAAACGTCTATTGCTTCGCTAGTAATGTTCAAAAGGAGAAAATATGTCATCCAAATTCGAGAACAAAAATTGATGGAATTACTGGTACAGTGATTTTAGAACAGAAATGCTTCATATCCACAACCTTTAATCAGATTGATTATTTAGAAGATCATCAGGAATCTGGAAATGTTTCATCATTCCACATTCCAGAATTAAGTTGGAACGTATCAGAAAGTACAACTCCACACAAGACAATTCTAATTGACAGTTTAGTCAATCAAGATGCAAAGGAGATTCAAGAGGAAATCGATCTTGGAATAGAAACAAATATCCCAGAACGAAAAGAAGATGATTTAACCACTTTGCTGTTTGCTGTGTTGGGAACCATCGTTGCGATCGTGCTAATCACGTTAATAGGAATCTGTTGTTGGAAGCGCAGGGAAGCGGTAACTGCAGTCAACATCAAGATGAAGCCCGTTGCACCGAATACGGATCATCCACCTATCAGAACACCAGAGCCATCACCTAAACGCAAATAATAGGGTTTATTAAATTCGTGAGGGGGGAGTAATGTTAATATACGATATTAACATATTTATTTATCTATGATATACTTTTATACTTTCTATAAATTTCACTAGATGTCACTTTAGTATATCCAAATTATGCTTTAGATTTGAATTATTTCATGTCGTTAATGAATTTGATAATCACTATGTATTTCATAATTTATTGTAATGTATAACTTTAGAATGACGTTATGCTAAAGTTGAATATACTTTCATTCAAGGGCATAACAATTGCAGTGCCGTGTGCAATTTGGTGTGCACATTCCTTTGTAAGGCCTTGAAGCAATTAGTATAAAAGAAGAAAGCATAGCATGAATAAAGGAGTCTATTTTTTATTATCAATAGATCCAGACCTTCTTGTTTTGAATATTTATCAACTTCACCATTTGCAGTTGTGCAACAACGATACACAACGTTATTAATACAATAATACTAATTATATTTCTGCATGATGCGGAGTTCCTATTATATTCCAAAATCCAATTGTAAAATTGCGATACATCAACGTAAGTGCCTAATCGATTCGTGATTATTTTACTACAATATCCCGCAGGTCGAGCATCAATTAATCCGTATAAAGTTCCTCCTCTCGCATCATCGACTAATGGACCTCCGTCATCAGTCTCACAACTGAAAAGAATACACAACAAATTCAATTCCTCACTTTTTTTAAGGCATTTAAATCTCTTTTCATACCCATTAACAAAATATGGACCTGCGCAAATCGTACTCGACGTAATTTTATTATGTTCCGTATCACATTGTTCCGTTGATACGATTTCAACTTCACCAGATAACAAATGCAATGACTCCTCATACTGCATAGTAAATAGCAAGTGCTTAATACAAATAAGTCAATATTTTTTATGCATACATACCATCATTGTTGACAATGACCATCCGTAGATCTTCATTTGTACACTTTCTGTTGCCGTCTCACTCGCGATACGATTTATTGTTTTTACGAAGGCATTATCTTTCGGTATCGCATCATGGAGCTGTAATTATTCGATTATCATAATTAGGTTTACTGGCATTCTTTTGCGATTTTTGTTGATAACTGGAATGTTTTGAGCATTATGTGAAATTGTATGAAATGATTGATGAGAATCGACCCTAATGGATTGGATAGACCCTAATCAAGAGGATGGTATGGCAAGCTTGCATGACAGATTTATCTGAATGTGTCTAGAAACTACAGACAGATTCCACTCTGTTTCAATACCACGAATGAAAATTTTTCTGTCTCAACATTACCCTGACCCATGACCTTTTTTAAAATGTTAGTTCTATGAATAATTACACTTTAATTGCCAGATTGTTGTTTTCCACTTAAAAAATATTTTTAAATGATATCAAAACCAGTTGATGAGACTAATTTGTTCCTATGACAGTATACAATGCTTAATCAAGTTTGATCTTGCAATTTTTAGGAATAAGTTGTACAGGTGTGATATAAGAACAATATCGAATGATGTTTAATGCAGTTTAATGTGAATTCCTCATATTAATTCTAGCTTATTTTTGATGTTATTTTTTGAGTTTATTAAAGATCATTCGGGTTTTTCTGAGATTTGACAATGAACTTTTGGGATGTGATGGATGTCTTTGAAGATGGATGAGGTTTTAGGTTTTTTAACAGCTGGATAAAAAGTTAATTCTTGGCCTCGTGGATTATTTTCTTTTGAAGAGCAATAGCTTGACATAACATAATTTTACAATATCTATTGCATCTTATCAAATCAATATCTGATTGTATCACATTTAATGTAGCTTACACGTCTGTTAAAATAATTACAACCGAGGTGGCACCCATGGAAGTACCAGAAAAGTTTAAGGTATTGACACCTAAAATCAATTCAGACAAGACAGAAGCTTTTTAAAGAGAATATGTAACAATCTAGCGAACTTCTCAAGCACAAACATAAGATTGAACAGAATCAGTTAAAATCGAGGTCAAAAGCACTTAATAAATGCGCTAAATCCAGCTCGCACGCATTAAACATTATCGCTTATTTCATTATCAACATAAACATTTCATGACTCACATAACCAATGGCAATATTATTTTCTAATGATGAACGGCTAAAGTTTTCATGGATTTTAAAATCTTCTAGAATTGTAGAGAATGTCAAGTCCTCTTCTTCAAACTTAAATTTAGTTCCACCGATAATGCGTACATCCTCAGGCAATAATAGAGCATCACTACGAGTAAAAACATTACTTTAAAATTACTTTTTTCTTAAAATTGAAAGTCATTACTTGCGATAGAAGCATGACGCGAGAGTCAAAACAGCTTTAGTTCCAATAAAAACTCCCGTACAGAAATGCCCTTTCCCAAAATATGATTCATCTGTTTCATCTAAACGAAGTGACGCAACATACGGAATATGATCAATCGACTTATTTTCATTGCCATTATTAAGCACTGGAATTCGTTGAGCACAGACTAAAAATAAGTTTTTATATGTCGATTATAAAAATTTCACAATCGAGATTTAATTAATACTTATGCTTAAATATAAAAATACGAGCAGAATTTTCAAGTTCTTCATGCTGCCTTGCTTTTTGATCGACAAATTGGAACTGAATCAACTTTTTTTTATCGTTCCTTGTGCCTTTATTTATGTTGATAAGATAACAACTACTTAGAAAATAATTTTAGCATTGAAATGATTTGGAAATGAAATTCCGATCTATAAATCACATGTTCGGCTTATTTATTGAATTGATCGAAACTAAACGCACACATTAGACATAGTAAAAAATTGGAGCCAGCCGTTGAGACTTGCGTAAATTCGTTGTATGAAAAAAATGTGTGCGCTTTTTCGAAATCATTAAACTCTTCTAATTTATGTGGAAGCATATTGAGCTCATGTAAGCTGTTTCTCATAAAACTTGTAATTTCATTGTCACTAATTGTATCGCTTTTTTGTCTGTCTACATGCTTAATGAGTGAATTTTTGTTTTTGTAGCATAAGACATAAAAGGCTTTGCATAAGATTGTGTGACTTTTCTTGTATTTCGATCAGGTATTGTCAATATTAACATCTATTTTTACACATGTTTAATGAATTATTTTCATTATTTAATTCTTAAGCACCAAAATATCGTATTTATTAGAAATTCTGTTCCTCTAAGATCTAAGAAAATATTTTCAATGTCAATTTGACATAGTCAAGCTAATTAAGAGATGTTAAATATTTTTCTGTTTTCAATTAGATTTTATAAGTCTTGATCATCATGTCTAATAATAAAGAAATGATTTTTCCAAAATTAAAATTAATAGATCCCGAAAACCGGGACACAAATTTTTCTCACAAATTTTGTTAATTTTAATGTGTAAAATATTAAAAACCAGATAAAAGTTTTTACCAAATAATTTAGGAATTCTTTTTAACTTACAGTTTCCTTTTCAAAATTTTCTAAGGTGTTTAAAAACGTGTAATCGTATGTCTATAGTAATTTCCAAAAAATTTGAATATTTTTGAATTTTATATAGATTTTATGATCATTCGAGTATATCTCTAATAAAGCTGCGATAAAATCTATTATTTGAATTAAATAATAGCTCGAAAAACAAATCAAATTTTTACTGAAAATTTTAAATCATTTTTGATATGAAAGGCTAAAAGATAATCTTTATAAAAATTAACAAAAGCTTTCATTGTAAAGTTAAAAAGTTCAGACAAGAAAAGAAATGTAAATATTGATTTATTTGGAAAAACTTTAACTTTCTGGCTTAGTTTTCTACTTAAAAATTTTTTAAATGATAAATACACCTTATTTGTAATTTGAATTTGAACCCGGGATCCCGGGATCAACAATTTCCAATACCGTAATCCCGGAATTGAAATTTTGGTCCGGTATTGAAATCCCTATTCATAACCCTTCAACAGTCAAGTTTTCAAAACCATAAAATAGCAAGTTTTTAAATCTTAAAGAACCATTTCAAATTTAAATTTCATTTTTTTCTACAAATCTCAATGGCATTAAAAAGCACCTCAATCTAAAAATCCCTAAAATGCAGCTTCCCTAAAATGCAGATAGTACTGCCAAGATGCAGATGGTGCTGCTAAAGTGCAGATGAAATTTATTTTCCCTAAAATACAGATGAAATGCTGTTGCTTTAAAAAAGGTATAATGCAGATAATTTTTATCGTATAAAGTGCAGATAAGATGCAGCCCAAATGTAGATCGTATAATTTCATTAAAATACATCAATATTCGATGAATTTTTTTCTTGATACGTGTTAATGACTTTAAATGATCCATGATGAAATTTAAGGGTAATTATTTTGTCTGATGACATATTTATGTATATATTGGGTCGAGTATCCTTTTTATGAGCTCATCTATATATCTTGCAAAAATGTTACATGTCGTTTAACAACAAAACTAGTGTATCGGGTAGAAACCTAATGCGGATATATTCGCACCGTACCATCAAAAGTCTTATGGATAGACAGAGATTTGTTCAGCATACGTTTGAAGGTATAAATCCTGACGAACCAGCTTTATATTTTCAAACATATGCTGAGAGAAGCTCAGCTGACTTTCTAGCTTTATACCTTCAAAGCGCAGCTCAGCTGAGAATCGCTCAGCATACGTTTGAAGGTATAAAGCTAGCGTGTCAATTGAGCTTCTCTCAGCATATGTTTGAAGGTTTTTAACTTAACGAACATTCTTAAAAAGTTTTTTAAAAAAATTTTCATCCAAAGTTTAATTTTATAAAAATCACAGTGAACTTTTGTTTTGAAAAATTCGTAAGAAAGGAAAGTTTTTTTGCTTTTTCTAAAGCAACGGCTGTTCCTACCTTGACCAAAAACAATACAGCTCTTCTATAAAGCAGCACGGATCAAATGTATAAAACTAGAAGTCTCTACGATGTCTCGTTATTGAGATTTCTTGCTTGCTTGCTTGTTTGCTTACAGAAAGCGTATTTTGCGATTTTCTCAGCAATGCCTCAATCAATTTTAAATCTGATTTTTGCAAAAGATGTAAAATTCAAGGCACAAACTTTTCTTCTGTGAACTCTTATAACCAATTTTGCTTCGTTTTCTCACAAAATGTGAAAAACTGATTTTTCAATCTGAACAAAACCAATAGACGTGAACACACGTGAATTCACACGTGAACACGGTGTGAATATAAAAAATACATTCGCAGATATATCAATGAAAGCTCCCAAAGTTATAACAAAATTTATAAAAATTATTCGTGAGTGACGCTTAATTAATGTGATTTCCCGACATAACTCCTTAACTTTAGGAAGTAAGTTCTATGTCAAAAGAAAGCAATTTTTGTTTTTTACAAGATGTAATAACTTTGAAATTTGTCACTATTGTGTAGGCTTTGTGGAAAACAGCTGTTTCAAAAACAGAAGTTCCATAAACTCTAATATTTTATTTGAAATATTCAAAAAAATCTTTCTAAACAAAAAAATACCTTGCAAAATTGTTGATTATATTTTTGAACTTTAGTAAAGGTTCAACAAATTTCAAATTTCGATTGCAAAATTAATAATGATTAACCATAAATTTGATAATGATTTCAAACCTATTAAACATCCAAAAAATATTAAGGGGCCATTCACTTATTACGTAACGCTTTTAGGGGGAGGGGGGGGGGGGGTTCTAAGATTTTGTTACGGTTCAATACAAATTTTGTTACGAGGGGGGTCTAAGAAGTCTTTTTTTCGCGTTACGTAATAAGTGAACAGCCCCTAAAATAGTAAATACATTTGAATTTGGAATGCTAGAAAAATATATTAAGTTCTTCAAAAAATTAAGAATTTTTTTTCTGTAAATTATATGTAAAAATGAAAAACAGAAAACAGATCTGTTTTTGAGACCTGTTTTCTGTTAACAGATTTTTGTCGAAAAACAGCTGACTTTCTGTTTTCTGGTAACAGGTTCCCCAAACCCTACTATTGTGGTTTCGAAGATATTTAAGAAACCAAAGCGTCACTCACGAATAATTTCTTTCTTCGTAGGTGCCCAAAAAATTAATATCCAACGTTAAATTATCTACATTATAACAGCATTTCATCTTTATTTTAATAAAATTATACGATCTACATTTGGGCTGCATCTGATCTGCACTTTATACGATAAAAATTATCTGCATTATACATTTTTTAAAGCAGCAGCATTTCATCTGCATTTTAGGGAAAATAAATTTCATCTGCACTTCATCTGCAGTACCATCTGCATCTTGGCAGTACTATCTGCATATTAGGGTAGCTGCATTTTAGGGATTTCTAGATTGAGGTTTAAAAAGCAGCAAGACAAAGTCATTTGAAAAATATTTGCACATTCAAAATATTAAAGCAAAGTGTGAATGATCAAAATAGTCAGAAAATAATCATGAATGTGCTAAAATAAATACGATAACCTTTAAACTATTCTCGATAATCATACGATTTTAGAGAATACTGACACACTAAGTTGTTATTAAAAGTATGCCAAATAATAAAATTCTCGACTTACAAATTACTCTCCCTATTTGTCGTAATCGTAATTTTATGAATGAAAAGATTAATAAACGATGTCTATTTGTCGGCTAATTGATATGAGTAGTTGTATCCTATAATCTGATGATGCAGTTATAAATACCACATTACATTACAAACAGCGATTCAAAACAAGTCATAATTTTCAAATTCAGCCAAACACGTGTTTGTGCGGCTTGTGGTGCACAAGAAATAATAAATGAGAAAAGAAGACAAAGCACTCTGTTGATTTGACCTAAAAAGCTACTCAAAAGCGGCAATAAAATATGAATATCAGCAAAAAATATTTTTGTAATTTGCGGAAGATAAATGAATATGCTGAAGAATAAGCATAAAAAGAATTTACGAGTTTTTTTGTTCATCATCATAATTGTTTATTTGATTAATTTAAAAGAGCATGGGATGCAAGTGAAGAGCATTAAAGTTTTATGTTTTTATTGTTGTGAAATCACTGAAAATGTATAAAAACCAACGCTTTTTTAAAACTCAAATTTAAACGGTTTTCAAAAATTCAAATTATCGTTGTAAATGTCCAAAAAAGTTTGAAATTGTCAAAAACCGTTAAATTATGCTGCATGAACATAAACCTTGAAAAGAAATGAATGATTAATTTTGCGCCTTCATGTGCTACATCTTCGTTTTACAAATATCAATTTATTTATCGCTGCTGCTTCTTTCCTTTCAAAAATGAAAATGAAAATCACTTGAAATGATTTATAGTCAAGAAAAGAGAGAGAAATAATGTGTAAAGAGAGGGAATTACGACCTACGATAACATACTATTAATTGACGCTTAAAGCATACTAAAACGAAGCTACCAAATGCCAAATAAATTATCACGAAGGGAGAAGTTGCAAATTACATTAAAAATCATTATTAAATTCCAGATAAATTATGATGCGGATTTCATAACACAAGCAGCAAAAAATTAAAATGAAACATTTAAATTATCAACAAATACGTGCCTTAATCAAGAAAGACATTTTAGTAAGACTAAGACAGCCAGTAAGTGTATAAATAATTGGAATTATACAGAAAAATCAATTAAACACGACTTTTTTAATTCCAGTGGATGACATTTATCTCAATTATATGGCCTTGCGCAATGTTCCTATCGCTTTATATCTTACGACTAAGGTTTAAACCTTATCAAGTTGGCGATTGTCAATTTCCAACGAGACAACTTCCAGCGAATGATTTATTGCCATTTTTTCAGTCTTATATATGCACAATTGAGAGTAAGTAATCCCTAAAGTCAGCAATAAGCTGGATCTGTGCTTGGTATTGTAAGGAATATCAGGCAAAGGTCTAATTCTTTGTGAATTAAAGAATATCAATATTAATTGATTATTAATGCTTTAAATTCACGAATAGATCAATGCATGGATGTCAATAAATATGAAGAAGTATCGAATTGGATGGAAGCTCCGTAAGTTTAATGGTTTAATTAACAAAAGCGCTGTTGTTGCTTAACATTTCTCATTTAAACATCTACAATAGGGTCACACCGGTGCTTAACATTGTCCAAACACTACTTAATGAAAAAGATTTATACAAAGCTATTATAGACCTTCCTACTTCAATGGAGTTCGTTTCTTTGGTAACAAAACTCGCAACCCATCCAAAGTTCAAGTATATAGAATGTATGTACATACTCGAAATTTGCATTAATCTTGATTTGTTTGACTAATTTTCTTATTTATTATACATAGCCAATGCTGATTATATTGTTAAGAACTTGCCAGAAATAAGAAAAGCAATGGGAAATAATTTCGATGTCAAGCAAGTCTTCAGCAATGACGGTATATTCTCAAATCTAGGAAAAGTTCTGTGTGGAAAATCGTTTCCAAGAAGCAATAATATCCGCTATGTCGACAACATTTTGTATACACCAGATATGAATAAAGATAGACCTGACAGTGATGAACTAGATGTTATGCCAAGTAAGTATAATAATTTCTAAAACCTTACAATTTCTTTTATGGAGAATAAACATTTGGATGGTTTTCAGACATTTTGAAATATTAATGTTAAAACCATTCAAATGTTTGTAAAAATGACTTACAATTTACTTCTTCTTCTTAATTAACTTTATTATGGTCCATCAGCTTATTGCTATTTAAAGACCGTTCACAATTCCAGGTAGTTTAATTTACAAATATACACAAAGAACAATCAATAAAATCCAGTCAACTCCAAATGGTTGACAGAAAACATGCCCGCGATAAGTCAAAACAACAAAAAACCATCGCTAGGCAAAAAATTCCATCTTCAGTTGTCGATGATCCAGATCCCTTGACAGTCCTTGTAATTTAACTTGTGATATTCCAAATAGATTCAATTTTATCTTATGTCTCGATTGTGATCTGTCAATTTAATTAATATGATCTGCTGTATTCCGAGATGATCGATTCCTGTTTGTCAATGTTGATTTGTTGAAATCCAGTCAGCACCAATTGATTGATAGAATTGCCCGCGATATATGGGGAAACACACAAAACCCATCGCGAGACAAATTCTCCTCACAATTGACGATAATCCGTTTCCAACAAAATTCAATGTCTAGGTTATGGTTATGATAGAACCTTCTTGTCCACGATTGTTGGTAAACACACAAAAAACCCACGTGAAACAATTGATTCTCCTCACAACTGCCGCCGATCGTGATTTGTCAATGTAATTAAATGTTCGTTGGTATTCCGATGATGATCAATTCCGTTTTATATTTTGTATTGGTTATGTGCAAAAATTTGCACCTTTTATGTTCAATTCCAAAGTTTCTCCAAATTTAACTAAATCGCGACTTTTTTGAGTTTTCTCCTTTGTTAATCTGTTCCTTAGTTATTTGTATGCACTTTAAACTATATTTGCTGTCTGGTTCCTACGCGTAAATAATTAAATTATGGAAAATTGACAATTCCACAACCTCGTTGTTCGGAGGTCGGGAGAAAACTGACTTACAATTTAACATAACAGTTTAAAAGACGTTAATTTGTAAAAATATAAAGCCTGCCAAAAACACTTAAGCAAACAAAAACAAAACATTAAATGAATACTAAAAGCGTGTTGTATTTTTTCCAAAATTTAGCACCTTATTGCAAACAACTTTATCTGGATGTGACAAATTCAAACAATGGAAAGATCACATGGAAGATTTTGAAGCCAATTATTCAAGGAAAGATCATTTATGGTCCAGTGACTGACGAAACAATGCAAATTGTTTCCTATGCGAATAAAACCATGGATGATATGTTTAGATTGCGTTCATTCTTTCGTTCCATTGAGACGAGCATCAATATGCTGAATACAAATGAGAAATTTCGTGCCAAGTTTGATGGACTTTTGAATCTAGCAAAAACGCCTTTTGTCAAAGCTATTTTAGGCGATTCCATCGATATAGAGTCAATTGAGAATGTTTTAATGAGCGTGATTACTGATAAGCAAGTTTTAGACATCGTGAAAACAATTGGAGACATTTTCGAGTGCTATAACGTTGATCGATTTATTCCGGTTAACAGTGAAAAGGAACTGGAAGATGTGGCTTATGAATTAGCAAAAAAGAAATTATTTTACGGTGCATTTTATTTTGATACTGAAACTGTGACTAATGAAGTGACTTATAAGCTACGAATGGAAGTTGACAACACACCAGTGACTATAGAAAATCGGAATCGATTTTGGTTCCCCGGACCAGAAGCTTCATTTGAGCTTGAAATGAGATATCATCGAGGATTTATTGAACTACAAAATGCCATAGAAATTGGAATCATTAAGGCTAAAAAGAAGAGACAATTTGACGCCTTAAGATCTAAGATATCGACTACCACACCTTTTGCACCAGACGATTTACAATTTAGCGATGAAGAAGATCTTTTATTTGATGATTTCTATGAAAATAATGATACAAGCGTTCACCATGAAACGTCGACAGCTGCTAGCACAGACGAATTTGGCGATCTTTCATTCGAAGACTTTAATGAAAACAAAAATAATGAAACGGAATCAACAACGACAACAAAGATTCCAACATTCGACTTAGGAAATCTTTTATTCGCCTTAGGAAATCCAAGTGCTGTAACTAAATCACCAGAAGTAGCAGATGAATTTGATGAAGATTCCGATTTCTGGAACTCTGATGATTTTGACAATGACACGACAGTATCCACATCTAAAGTAAGAAGGAAGCGTCAGTTTGATGGCATTTTAGGATTATTTGGATTAGGCAATGGTGTTGCTAAGAAATCAAATCCAGATGAACTTGAATTTAAAGTTGATGAAATGAGGTTTTTTACAAAACAATTTCCATATCCAAAATACACACGTGATGACTTCAAGAAGGGACTTTATCTTGCACAAGCTATTCAAATGGCATTTTTCTTTGCTCTTATTATTCTCGTTTCATCATCCGTAAGACAGAAGATTTGGTTCAAAGAGAGTGGCAATTTATCGGTATGCATTAAAATTATGATAAATAAGTAAATTGTAACAAAATGTGCATTTATATCTTTTACACAGTTGATGCGAACAATGGGACTATGTGAATCGTCTGAAATCGTTTCATGGATCATTACAACATTTGTCGAATTGGCTATTGTGTTTTTCCTCTGTCTTGTGATTTTGTACACTGGAGGAATTATGCAATACACTAGCAAGCTACTGATCTACATTTACTTGCTCATTTTCGGTTTATGTGTCATATCTTTCTGGTGAGTAAATGACGTTAAAATGAGCTAAATACATAAATCATCATTAATATTATTTATGGCTGACTTAAAGGCTCGTTCATAAATGATGTCTATATTAAAATTTGGTTTTTTTTCATAAAATTTTCTTTTATTAAAGTCCTGCAACAGATTCAATCCCCTAGAATGTGGACATCATTTATTAATGACTCTTAACTATATTAATGCTCTACTAAGCATGAGGTTTAATCCTAAGATTTATTTTTAATCTACCTTTATATCTCAGGATTTATTTTTATCCATAAATTTATATCCACAATATATAATAACAATATTTTCCCAAATATTTACAGCTTCATGGCATCAACATTCTTTTCAACAGCCAGCATTGGAAGTGTTTCAACCGTCATATTATTTTTAATGACCTTCCTTCCGTACATTATTATAATATCACTCGGTGCTGTTTTGAGCTCATTTGGTAAATTTATTGCGAGTCTCTCGTTGTCAACAGCATTCTGTTATGCATGGCTTTACATATTTAGAACGGAACTGCAAGAGAAAAGTTTGACATTATTTAATGCATTTAGTGATGACATAGAAGGCAATGACTTGAGGTTTGGCATGCTGATGATCATTTTTGATACGTTCCTGTATGCTGCAATTGGATTCTTGAATAAGAAGTTTTCATCAAGCAGTAACAAATTTTATAATGTTGAGAGAAAGAACATTAGGAAGGAACTTGGTGCTGAAATGAAAAAAGTTACAAAAATTTATGATGGATGTGATCCAAATAAGCCTGCCGTTGAAAGTGTTTCAATTAATTTCAAGAAAGATCAAATTCTGTGTTTACTTGGAAGAAATGGTGCTGGAAAATCGACTGTAATTAAGCTTTTAACAGGTGAAATTGAACCATCTTTGGGAGAGATCCATTTGCCATTAGATTATGACTTAATTACTGGTTTTAAGAATGAACAGGAACAAGTTGGATTGTGTCCACAAGGTAATATTTTAATACCCGATTTGACAGCACGAGAGCATTTAGAACTTTATGCACGTATAAAATTAAGCAAAGATCATCGAAAAGAAGTTCGTCGTGTCATGAATAATATGAAATTAGGAAAATACAAGGATTATAAAGTATCAGCACTATCAGGTGGCTACAAACGTCGTTTATGTATCTCTATTGCCTTCCTCGGATCTCCAAATCTTGTCATTCTCGACGAACCATGCTCAGCAGTTGATGCGAGTGCAAGAAAAGTAATTTGGGATTTAATTGAGACATTACGTAAAAATCGTGCAGTTGTCATGTCAACACATGACTTAGACGAGGCACAACATTTGGGAGATCAAATAATAATGATGAAAGATGGACGAATCGCAATGGAAGCGACTACAAAAGACTTGCATCACGAACTGACGAAGAATTTCGCAATTAATGTTGAATTAAAGGCATCTATTTCTACAGACATGGAGACTATTGATGAAGTTCGGGGAGTCATTATGAGTCACTACAAGAAAGACGCTGATGTGATGGTCAAGGATTGTTCGTTGACTGCAATATTGCCATATTTTGATGAGGAATCTAAGAAAGTGGAGTGAGTTTTTCAAATTTAAACGGGTTTCAAAATTTTGAATTTTCATAACTTTTTTTATAATTCTGTTTTCAAGTTTTTGAAAACCGTTAAAATGTTAAAAACATTTTTTATTTTACATCTGACAATTTTCTTAATTTTCACAGTTATGGCGATTTGTTCCGAGCACTTGAAAAACTACAAATTGATAAGAAGATTGTAAACTTCAGTATAACTAGTAAAACCCTTGAAAGTTATTACAAAAGTATCGAAAACGATGCAGTTCCAATGATTAATGGACATTCCAATGGATATAATAATAATAACAATAATAATATGGAAACAATCGACCTCAGAAAAACAAAAAATGGACAACAAAATGGAACCTTCAAAGGCATGCATGACAATAGAGCACCATTCCGTGACATTGTTTCAAATTTATTTCTTAAAAGATTCTTGCATTTCCGACGAAATTATCGACTCCTTATTTGCATTATGGTTCTACCTGTCATTTTTGAATTCATTGCTATGACATTTATGATAATTCGACCACCAGACGATTACGATAATCAGGTTGAATTCAATAGATCAATGTATCCAAATTCAGTCGAATTTTACTCAAAACAAAATGCGGATCCATTTTCTGAACTTGTTTACGAAGATTTCGAGGATACATGCTCAGTAAATGAAAATTGTGATTTATTTGATTCCTCAAAAGATTCATACGAGTGGATGATTCGAACGCATGAAGAATATACTCGAAGACGTTATGGAGGTATTTCCATTAATCAATCAAGATCTATGGTTTGGTACAACAATAAGGGATATCATTCGATGCCATTGTATTTGAACATTCTTAGTTCCGCGATTTTAAAGAAGGAATTAAATGATTCATCGTACAATATTCGTGCTATTAATCATCCATTGAAGTTGGGCGAAGATGAGCTTAGTGTTTCTTCTATGTAAGTATTAATTAGTTTATTCTTACTCGCACATGATGATGATTGCTAGAACTTCTTAAACCTTAATTTTAACGCCAAAATTTGTCAAGTTCAAAATTTGAACTTCAATTTAAATTTTTAAATTCTGCTGTATTTCAAATTCTGAATTTCCGTTGAATCTTCAAGTGCTTATCATGTTTTGTTGCTTAATCATTCAATTTCATTTACAGACTACAACAAGTGGCTGATGCCGGAATATCACTCATCCTACTCGTGTCATTCAGTTTAGTTATCTCTGGTGCATCAGTATTCATTGTGAATGAAAGAATTAGCGGTGAAAAGCTCCAACAACAGCTTTGTGGCGTGAGATATCAAATCTATTGGGGAGTTGCATTTGTTTGGGATTTTGTCATTTATTGTTTTGCAATCTTCTGTGCCGTTATTGTATTTTACATTTTCAACATTCCAATCTATGTGGAAGGCGATAATCTCGGTGGAATTATTTTATTATTGTTTGCATTTGGATTTGCAATGATTCCATATGTTCATTTGTTTGAGAAGCTTTTTAACGAAGCGAGTTTTGCAAATATGTCAATATTCTGTCTGAATGTAATAATGGCATTAACAACAGTCTCAATAATCATAATGTTTGACGTTCTAGCGGAAACGGATGAACACGAGAGAATGCGAAACTTTTTGAATAGACTATTTTTAATTTTTCCACAACATGCATTGGCTGATGGATTGATTGAGATTTGTAGAAATCATATTATGTCAAAAATATTCATTAGATACTACATCAATACGTACAGATCGCCAATAACAAGTGACCTTCTCCGACCACATTTGACTGCATTAATTGCACTCGGAATCATTTTCATTGTACTTAATTACATTGTTGAAAGTGGCATTATCTGGACTTTATTCAAAAAGCAACCAAAACAGTCGAGTACGGAGCTCAAAGTCATAACAATTCAAAATACTTTGACAAAGGATTTAGGTAAGTGTCGCTAATAATTAGTCAAAAGCTTTAAATTAAGGCATAAATAATTGACAGAAGAAACTGAATCAAAATGACTTTAATCATTGGACTCGTTGCTAATCTACAATTTTGTTGATATGAAAAATGGCATGAGAATAATTTGATATATCCAAATACCTGATTGTGCCTTTATTACATGGATGATTCTTAGCAGTTTTGTCGTAAGTCAGTTGACGACATTGAATGAACTATAGCCAATTTATGGTCTAAATTAAGTATGACAAAGTATATATTGCTGGAAAGGCCTCTATTTTAGCTATGCGATACATTGACTTTGAACCGATACAAAACCGGTAGAACCGTTTCAAAAATTCCAAAAATGGCGGAATCGTATAGCTAAAATAGAGGCCTTTCCAGCAATATGTACTTTGTCATACTTAATTTAGACCATAAATTGGCTATAATTCATTCAATGTCGTCAACTGACTTACGACAAAACTGCTAAGAATCATCCACATGTCCTTTTCACAGTTTTAATTAATTTTTTCTCTTCTCAATCCTCGATTCAGGAGTTTTAGGTAGAACAGTAGCAAATGAAGCGGGAAATGATAATATACTAAAAGTTGAGAATCTGTACAAAAGCTACAATGGAAATGAATTTGCGGTCAATAATGTGTCCTTCAACGTGAAAAAAGGTGAATGTTATGGATGTTTGGGAACGAATGGAGCGGGCAAATCAACTGTCTTTTCAATTTTATCGGGCGAGACGAAACGATTTGCTGGAACTGTTCAAATGGCAAGTGATGTGGATAAATATAGCATTTCATATTGTCCACAAACGAATGCTCTTGACCCGTTATTGACTGTTGAGGAAGTTATGCGATTTTATGGAAAGTTAAGGAACATTAAGGATCTAGACGGCTTGGTGGAATCAGGACTTGACAATTTTCACCTTAAACCATACAGAAATGTTCTAGTCAAGAATTTAAGCGGTGGTAATAGACGTAAATTGAGCGTAGCATGTTCAAGCTTTGGAAACTTATCTTTGGTGCTGATGGATGAACCAGTGAGTGACATGGATCCAATTACTAGATATTTAGTCTATAAGACAATCAAGGAACTTAATGATGAAAATTGCTCAGTCATTTTGACGTCACATAGTATTGCAGAATTAGAGGATGTGTGTCATTCAATAGGTATTTTAGTAGATGGAAATATGGTTGCAGCTGGAACGCCAGAAAAACTAAAGAAAGAATTCGGAAATAGATATGTCATCACCATTTTGAGTGAGAAGCCACTTGACTATCATTTTGAAACTGTAAGTACTTAATACTTCCTTAATATTTAATTTAAATAATTATTTTTTATTATTATTCATCATTCAAGGACCTCCGAAAGACTTTCCGTTCCATGAAGAACACAGTTTGCCATCAATATTCAGCACAATTCTTAATGCAAGTCCGAGACTTTGAGAATGTCGACCATTGTCATATAAAACTCAGCGAATTAATCGATTTACTTAATGCATTCACAAATGTTAAGGATCTCAAATATACAATTACAACATGTATGATTGATCAAGTATATGAAAGTATCATAAAGAGGGGAGTTTCGGGTATTGATAATAACGGGTACGTGCAAAATGAATATCAAGTAACGTAATATGGATTAGAACTTAATTAATGTGTAAATAATAGCATTTATGGTTGTGCAAAATAATGTACTGTAATTAATTAATTAATTTTTCTACAATTATTGAATCTTATTCTTAATTATAGTTTAGGATTACTTTACTTTTATTGAACGAAAGCAGCATAAGATCAAAGAAATGACAATAAAATATGTTGTACTTATTTTTAATTTTATATTTTATTTTTATTTGAAAACTTGTTTTATCTGTTTTTACAGATTTAAATTTTGACTTTAAAACCATACAATTGTTTAAAAATTGTGAAATTGTAAGGTTTTAAGTAATAAATAAAACCTTACAACAGTTTTCAAAAACAATTGAAGGACTCTTTATTGCAGAACCATTCAACAGCACTCGAATAAATACCAAAACCATTCAACAGTTTGTGAAATAATTGAATTTGTATGGTTTAAATATTCACTGAAATTTCACTGACAGTTAAAAATTCAAAAAGTCGAATTGATTTTGTTAATTTTCTTTATTGATAGATATCATAATTATTTTTTAATCAGAATAAGATAAATTAGATTCTGAAATGATTTTTTAAAAGAAAAATTACTCCAACTCAAGTTCCAAATCACATTAAGTTAAAAAGTTTATATCAGAATTGTGATTTCTTTTTGCATCAACATAAAAAAATCATCGATAAAATAAAAGAATCTCAAAAAAGTGAGAAAATTAGTCGTTTGTTTTAAATATACATATTCGATTTTTTAAAATAAAATTTCTCTTAACTAAAACCTAATTTGTGTCTTCAAATCCATAAAAATTTTGTATTTAAATGAGACAAAAAGTAAAAAATAAAAAAATATTCGAAACTATAAACTAATGGGAAAAATAAAATAAATACTGAAAAGATGAGATGAAATAGCAAGGAAGCTTACTTATAGCATTGAACTTTGCGTTAATTTTTCAAATTTTTTTTGTTCAATTTTTGTTTTTAAATCCTATATTCTCAATTTATCCAATAATATCGTAGGCTAAATGAAGTTTGAGAGCATTTTTTAAGTGAAAAATGATTTTGTTTTAAAAAAGTTTAAGGATAGAGAGAGATTTGTTGCTTGATAGGACTAACATTTAATTATTACTGCTATGAATGATTAAAATTAGGTAGGAAAGCACTTTTCTGACTTTTTGGAACATCTAAATAATAGATAAATAGGGTATGCATTAGTTGGTTTTCATTTCTTAAGTATTTTTATCCAAAAAGTGTGTCAAAAATGTAATGAGTATGAAATTTATTTTTTTATATCCAAATGAAATGATTGTGTTCAAATACGACTTTGTGGCGTATAAAAATTGCATGAATCACGTGCTTCATACACAAGCTTCAATATGAAATATTTAAAAAAAAAACTTATAAGTTGGGTGTGGATCAATTATGATTCAGCTCCGGACAGTTCTGACGAGCTTGATGACAGTCTCGATTTTAGTGATTCCGATTGACGTTCAGCAACTTTAAGAATGCTTTCAGCTAATGAACTCATTGATCCTAAAGGCGAAGGTGAGTGTGGTAAACTTGGTGGTGTTTCTTTGGGTCGTACATTGGACATGCTTTTCCGTAAATTACTTTGTGGTGGCATTGTAGTAGGTCGTGGCGGAGCTTGTCGTAAGCTTAAACGTTGTACAACATTCGGATCATCTGCTGTCTCAATTGTTGTTGGTAAATCCACAAACTTTTGTTGAATCCCAGGACCCATGTGACTTACATGATTGAAATTTGATGGCGCTGATATCATTTTGGATCGTCGATCTGATGCTGCTGTCCTTATTCTACTTGATTCACGCAGTGAGAATCTCCTTCTCGGAATTGAGCGTTCAACGCTTCCCGTGTCAAGGACGTCCCCTAATCACACATTAAGCATGTTAATGTTTGTTATTTATAACTTTATAAAATAAAACAACTTACTGGTTAAAATGTTTGACAAAAAGATGACATACGGCGAGTCATTAAGCATCATTAACGTTAAGCTGCCATCATTACAAAGCGGTCGAGACTTTTTCAATCCAATCGACTGCACCCAATCGCCAGAATCGATATTAAAAACATCTAAATGAGTTTCCGAATAAACTAATAAAAATTCATTTTCATGGGTAATAAATGTTGGCGTTGCTGGAAACATTATTTCAATTGATCTCGTCTTTCGTCCCTGCTGATCTACATATATGGCCAATGTTTGGAAGACAAGGAGATACTCTACAGCATCTCCATCGCTATTATTATCGATATGACTAGAGTTTACTTCTACAACAAGCCATGTATCAGTGTTTGAGTACGATAAAAAGTGGCTTATGTTGTTGTCTGGATGCACCAATGCTGTTGATGGAACAAAATTCATTGAGTTGAAATTAATTTCAAAAAATTTAACGGTTTCATAATATATGAAAATTAACAGTCGTAATATTTTTGAAACACAACAGTAGAAACATTTAAATTTAAAAAAAATAACCGTTATAACTTACGCATTTTGGCAGCATCAGCTTGTAAGTGATAAGCTGTAAATCCTCCTTGATGTCCAATCGCTAGACGTCCATCAGAGAGAATTTTCATATTTTGCACATTAAGATTAACAATAAATTCAAATAATTTATGATGACGCTGTTTATTCCTGTCAATTTCATACACTACAATCAGCGTATTATTAGGTTTCTTTATAGCAACTGCGAGTCCATAAATATTCTGAGGAGTACCATAACGTATGATTCCCGTGCAAGCTGTGATACAATTTTTAGAATCTGATACTTTAATCCATTCAAGATCCGGCACTTCAAGTGCTCGAATAGGTAACAATCGAATGTATCGCTGCTTGCCACACAGCACAACGAGCAATTGCTCTGTTTGGATATACCAAATCTGTATGATTTTCTTCATTTCACCAATACGTATAAATTCGAAGCAGTCAAGCTCGACACAAAAGATTCCTTCATCATTTCCAATCAGCATTCGATCACGATCGATTATGGCAGCACATCCACAGTTTCTTACAATATTTAAGTTACTATCAAGTACTTCTTTGACACGATAAACTGCTGTATTTGGAAGATTATTTTTCTTTAATATACGATGCAATTCACTTAATGCTGTAACCCATTTTTGCCTTTCCGATTCCGTATCAGCCAACATTAATGTGATCGACTTACTTCCATCATGAATTAAAGATGTAGTTATACGGAAGATGCAAGGCACATCCTTTTTATTTGCATGAATAACGTCCGTTTCACGAACCATTGAAACAGAGAATTCAGGATCTCTCATGTCCAAAATTTGACTAACTTGCACACACGGCTGTCCATTATTGCGTTCCTCATCGTATAAGAATAATTTGAAATCGCACACAACGACAAATTGTCTTATCCAGCCACGCTTGATGAAACCTTGTTTAGGAACTTTTACATAGCCTTCATATGCTGTTCCGATGCCTCTTGTTGGATCAATTCCGAGTGGTCTTTTTGGTTGATCACCCGGCATTGAACAATATGTAGGAACTTTTGCACAACAGTGTACATGACATGAAAAATTGCATGAATCGCACACGGCACCTTGTCGCGTTAAGCCAATCTGTGGATTAAGAATGTAATTTGTTTGGATTAAAATGAATTCTGAGGATTTAAATTATAGACTAATTTAAAAAATTAAACTGTCAAAAAAAGCAGAATTTTGCTCACCATCAAAGACGTACAATGATGACACTTTATAGGCGTAGTAAATGTTCGAACCACAAACTGATGCATTCTCTTGTTAGAATATTCCATAGATGTGTCACTAGCGTTGCTCCGACGTGTAGAAAATCCATCGTCAGGGGCATAGTTGCTTCTTGGAGAGCTGATTGAAGGTTGATTTGAGTAAATTGGCTGCTGTAATTGTTGCTGAGATAATGAAGAAGGACTTGTTGGAAGAAGACGTTGAGGCTGTTCCAAATCAAATTGAGAATTAAGCTTAGCCGAAATTCCCATTTTTGGACCTCTTACCGGTAAATTATTATAGATGCTATTTGATGTTGGCGATCCTGCATTGTCTTTCAAAAAGTGATCCAAGTACGATGACGATGGCCGTTCCAAAACTTCAGAAAAATTGTTCATTTTTTATTTTATTTCAGATTTTTAAAAATCAAGTTCAAAAAGATTAAATTCAAAAAAGAAAAATTCACAAAAAAATATTCAGGAACATAAATTGTTTGTATTTTAATTGTTAATGTGTTAAATCAAGGAATTCTCAAAATGTCATCTTAAAGGATATGAAATCATGTGAAATTTATTGTTTTTGAAGAATTTGAAGCATTTTGGAAGCTGTTAGTGTCGAATTTTTCGCTGTTCTTTGTTGTTGCAATGAGTTTTTAATATTTTATTTTTGTTATGAGAAGAAATAGGAAGAATAGTTGATAAGACAGATTGGTAAGTAGAATGTCAAACAATGACGATTAGTCAAAAAAAAAATCAAAGAGCCAATGAAACAGTTAAAGGCGATTAATTATGCGAATTTGATTTGATTTGTCCTTTATTGAGCAAAGTAAATGAACGCAAAAAAACACAGTTTTTAGGAACACAGCACTTCTTGGTGGACCGTTATTTTTTTGTACAGACTTTTTTGAATTTTTTGGGCAAGAAATTATTGAACTTTCCAATGTTGGAATTTCAAGTATCATATTAGATAGATAAGCTAAACAAGCTTCTTTAAGTATTGGGAATTTAAGAGAATTTGGATGTTTTGAACTTTCCAATATTGGAAGGCGTTGGAAATATTAAAATAATTCTAAGAATTAGAAAACGTTTACTGGAAACTTGACTTTCCAACGTCCAATACTGGAAGGTTAGTCAGAAATTTTGTCACCACCTTTTAATATTTTGAACTTTCCAGCCATTAAAAGGAAATAATGGAAAATTTATTTGGAAATTGGGAAGAATTTTGTTACTGGAAGTACTTTTTTTGAATTTGAAAATTAAAAATCTGTACGAAGAGATTTGCGACAAATATCAATCCAGTCAAGAAATGCCGAACACAAGAAAACTTGACGGGAAATTTTTAAAAGCTTTTCACCACAATTTACAATTGAATATCCAAAAAAGCTTTCAAAAATGCCCAAAAAATCTCTTTTTTTTTAATTCATCACAAATTAATGTCCCACCTTAATTTCAAGCGGATATTGCAGTTTTTATTGTTTTAGAAGGTAATAGATTTCATCCAGCACCTTAAACTATTACGCTTTCAAATAAATCAGAATAATAACGCAAGTGTGTGAACAAATGTGTAGGTTTTAAGGTTATCTTGAGAAGAAATTAAAAAATCTTAAATTTTTCATCTCTTCTTTATTGCATTGTATAATGAGCATTTGCGAGGAAATAATCTTTACATAATTAACAACTTTTTTTTATCTTTTGAATCATAATTAACATAATTAACAATTTTTAAGGCCAAAAAATTGTACCTATCAACATCATATTTTGCTATGAATCAGACCTATTTAGAAATAAATAATTTAAGTTGCGATATAACAACGATAATATTTTTTTAAGTATAGTGATTATTGCCAATAAATCGAAATAAAGCTACAAGCTTGAACTTTTTTTTAAAATAGAAGAAAAATTATGAAAAAGAGGAAGAAAAAGCATTTTTAAAAGCAATGTTTATCTCCTGCGCTTTTTGCAGTGCTTTTTATTAGTTTTAGCATATCGAGAACGATTTTTAGTCTTCTTTGACAATCGCTTGATCGTTGATTCATTCAAGTCAGTTATTTGTAATGATGATGATGATGTAATTTGTATTAATTGTGATCGACTTGTGTTACTGATCTTTAAATCATTATTATTATTATTATTATTAATATTATTTTGAATATTTTTTGAGGAACTTGTTGAATTGGTAACGTTATTATTTCTTATGGAATTTGGGCAAGAAATTAAATCATTCGCTTTCAAATTATCTGTAAAGAGAAGAAATCCAAAAAACAAAAAATAAAAGAAAAAGTATCATGCGTTGTTGACATTTTGTACAAATAAGAAAGACAAAGACATAAACAGAAATTCTATTTTTTTTGCGAGGTACGCATCTATTAGCAGTCACCACAAATATTGACAATGTACGATTGTTTGTTAAAGTCACACGAACCTTCAGATCAGTGACAAGATAAAAGACAAATAAGAAATGGATGGAAGGAAAATAAATTAAATCTCATCTCTTTAGACTGAGGAAATTTATTTAAATTTTTAATTACAATAAGAAGGTCATGCTTTGTTCGCAAAACGAACGAGATATTATTGTGGGATGAGATGATTAAAGCGTCTTTTTTTAAATTCAAAAATTCTAGCGAGTTTTTTGAAGTTGAAAAATTGAACAAGATTAAAGTTTAACGGTTTTTAACAATTAGAAACGAAACTTTAGGATTTCTGAATCTTAAGCCAGTAAGAACACTTAAATGCTGTTCTAGCCAACAAAAAGAATCCAGCAAGACAAACACTAAAGTGATCTTACTAAAATGTATGTAACAAATAAGCGAGATTGAGTAAAACAAGAGTAGATAAAATGCATGAAGCGGTTAATTTGACTGTAGGTGGATGAATCAACAGCACATTTCAGATCGAAATGAAATTTGGCACAGAGAGATTCTGTTATGATCGATTTAAATGTAAATAAAAACGCGCGTTAATTTCTAATTTGTATTTTTTTGTGTCTTAAAAAGTAAGTTTTAAATAAAAACAAGTCATAAAAACTGTACAAGCACACTTAGTTTAGCATGAAAAATGTGAGATGTGGTTTGATTAGTTAGCATAGTTCTTCATAAGCCACACTAAGCATGCCCAAACGCAACTTGTGACACCAATCCATAGAGAAAAGTTTTTTCGCACCGATCTTCGATGGTCGCGATTATTGTCTCGGGTTGGTGTGTATTGATTTTGGGCAGCAACATGCGAATTAAGAGAAGATGTTGATGTCGAACATGGTTGCAACATTTCACAACGGTTAAACGATACATCCGAATATTTACTTGATGCAAATGTATCATCATCATTATCATTATTCTTATTGACATTAATATCTTTAGATTCTAAAGAGTTATCATCTACATCTATTGACTTTGACTTTGCATTAATCTCATCATCATTACTCAAACCATCTAGTAAAGGTTCATCACATTTTACATTGCTGTCGAGAACGACTTGATTGCTTGAGGGAAGTGTGTCTTGATCCTTAATCTCATTATCGACTAGTTTAGGAGTATCTTTTGCACAATCACTTTGTGAACTTATGTTAGCATTTAAATCAATATTCACACAATTATTCACCATCACCGTCTCATTATTATTATTATTTAATAAATTATTAATTTCATTTTCAACGACACAGGACTTGGACGAAAACGACGAAAGAGTAGTACCATCTGTTTTTTGTTTATCGTCAGATGTTCTCATTACATTCACTAAACATTAACAATATAATAACAATATATATCAATTACATTTTTAAAGAAAGAAAATGAAATAAAAAAGTAAAAAAGATGGAGAGAAAGAAATAATAATAAAAATAATAATAACTTATGAACTTGGTCAGTGTTTATATCAAAATGATGGAATGTTTTTGGTTTTATTTCGAATATAATATATTGTGAGGTATGCGAATCGTGTAATGACTTTTGATAATTTTTTTTTTATGTTCGAATTTTTGCAGCTATGAGACTTCACACGAATAATTAAAATGTTTGTACTCACATCCTTCGTTATTTTCCAATTTGTGCTGCAGATCCTTTATCAAGTTATCCTTGCGCTTCATATCACTCAAAATCGAGTCGTTATGTTGACGATACTCGTACAGGTCTCTGTGGATGTTTGCAATTGACATTATTAGAAAAAATTTGTGAGATTTAACGGAGTTTTGGAATTCAAAAGTTATAACGTAGGGTTCGCCAAATCGACATGCGCATGCAAAAACATGCGCATGTATATCTGAGATAAAAATTGAAACTTCTAATTTTTACTGGATTCGTTTCAATGTGTCTCAATAATGATTATTTGGACACTTTTGATTGATTTGACACCACATCTTGTGAGTAGGAGGTCAAATTAGAGGTGTTCTGATGTAGGAACACCTGTCTTTTTAAGCAGTTTTAAAGCGAATTTCAACATTTTTATCATATTTTTTATGAAATTTTTGATAAATATGATAAAAGGAATAAAAAAATTATTTTTGTAAAATTTGTTTTATAAAATTTACATGCAGTACATGCGCATGAGAAATTTGCATGTATGCGCATGCATGCGCATGTGGGCGAACCCTATTATAACGTCTTTCAAAAATTTAAAAGTTGTCAAAATTTTATCGCTTTTGAAAAATGACCAAAAAATTTCAAATATTCAAAAAACCGTTAAAAACTTACTTTTGGGCTGCGACCAATTCAGCTCGTGTGCGACTCAACTCATCGGATATTAAAGCCTTTGCCTGAATTTCACTCTGCAAAGAACTTTGTAGATTTAAAAGTTCCATTTTTTCCAGTTTTTGTGATCTCCTATTTCTCCAGTTTTTATCGTGATTGTGCTGCATTGTTCCCGATCCCTTAATAACATCCAATTCCTCAGTCATTTTTGATGCCAACGAACTCAAATAAGTTCTCGCCTCTTTCTCATCGCTGACCCATTGTATAATTTCATTAATTTGTTGTTCCCAATTAGAAATTGCTTGTCGTTTGTTCTTAAGCTCTTCATAATCACCATCGACTTGCGATTGATGCTGTTGCAAGCGACGATTAGTGTCGTTTAACATTTCAACCTCGCCAGTCAATCGAATATTTTCATCAATCAAATATTGCTTTTCTTTCTTAAGATTATTAACCATATCTTCCAATAATGACATATTTTGTCGAAAACTTTCAAGCTTTTCACGAATTTGACTCAGTTCCATTTGTGTGAGATTCTTTTGTGTTTCAGATTCATTAAGTTGATCTCGTAAATTATTGATTTCTTGGCTAAATCGAATCTGTTGTTGTGCTAATAAATCTTTCTTTTCCATTTCAAGCCGTTCAATTTCTCGCTTTAAATTCTCTTCATGGACATTCGAATGTGAACCTTCAGCTTGTAACTTTCGACAAAATTCTTCACTTCTTTCTCGCGCTTGACGCTCACGATTCATATCGCCAATTGATTCCTGCAATTTTGATTCCATCTCACGTCGACCTTTCTCTGTCAAACGCAAATCATTCCGGAGTGATTCAACTTTTTGTGTTGACTTATCTAAATCCTCTTCCTTATCTCGTACTTGTCTGACTAACATTACCTTTTGTGTTCGTAATTCCTTTGCTTCGTCACTCAATTCCATAAACTCTATCATTCTCTGTTTATGTTGCTGATTTGTTGTTTTTAAATCTGATTCCAATGTTTTTAAATTCTCAAACAATTTATGTTTTTCTTTTAGAACGTCTTCATTCTCTTTCTTTAATTGTATTATAGCCGATTCCAATTCCTGCATTCTTGACGATTCTGAGAGTTTTCGCTCCATATTCGAATTGTTTGCAAGAGATTGAAGTTGACTCTCCAATTCGCCATTTCTCTTAGTTAAAATATTAATTTCATCCTGTAATTTACGCGTTGTTTCAGGATTAACTCGTTCACCATTACATTTAGACATATTTGATGTTATTTCATTTGAAATTATTGCTCCTAGATCTGATAAATTACTATGCTGAGTAAAAGTAAAGCCAACAAATGGTAAATGATGTGCTGAAAAAGCTGGATTTGTTGTTGGTGGCACGACATCAGAAAAGAGTTTTGAATCAGTGTCTTCAACATCAAAATTACTAGTATCTGTAGGACTTGAGACTTCAGGAATATATGGAGCTTGGGTGTTCCTTAATGCTTCCCAATCAATTCCAATAAACCAAGGATGATTACGGAAATCATCGAGACCATTTTTGCCAATACGATCTTCTTGTGCACAAATAAGTCTTTTAATGAGGTCTTTTGCATTATCACTGACTGGATAATCAGGATCATCGGGCGGAAAATCGAAACTATTTTTGAAATTCATAATTTTTCCATATGTTTCAACTAAGCTTTCAGCATAAAATGGAGTTTCACCGAAGAGCATTTCATACATGCATACTCCAAGTGACCACCAATCACATTCAGTTCCATACTTTCCTTTTCCATCTTCCATAGCACGTAATATCTCAGGACTAATATAGTCGGGAGTACCAACAGCTACATTTGATTGGACTTTTCCATTCGGTCCAAGTTTTAAGCACGATCCAAAATCAGCAAGACGTATATGCCCATTTGAATCTAGAACTAAGTTATCGGGTTTAATGTCTCGATGAATATAATTTAATTGATGAACAGATGATATTGCAATAATCATTTCGGCTATATAGAAGCGAGTCATCTCTTCAGGCAAACGATCCTCAAATTTACTCAATAAAGTCAATAAATCCCCGCCACAATAATAATCCATTACTAAATATAGATTTTGATCATCTTGGAATGCATAGTGAAGGTTTGTTATGAATTGACGATCGCCATAAACTAGGACGTCTCGTTCCTCACGAAAACAAGCTGTTTCTGCGCGCTACACATTATGAAAGATAAAATTAAATAGAGTCAGTCATTACGTCACTCGATATGATAATAAATTCTTAAATATATTTTTCCTTACTTTCAACATTTCCCACTTATTGAGAATCTTCATCGCATAGACCTTATTTGTGGCAATCATCTTCACAACGCAAACTATTCCGAATGCACCACGTCCAATAACTTTTAAAATCTCAAAATCATCTCGACTCAATCGAAGTTGCTTGATATTTTGAACAATTTGTTTCACTGTAAGGTCACACAATTAAGAGATATTATTATTAGTAATTAATTAGAAATAGTCACAAGCAATATCCTTACTCAGTTCAATAAATTCAGAAACAGTTTTTTCTCGTCGTAGTGACGAGTTCTGACACTCATCATAAAGCACAATAAGACAATCTAGTAATGTCTCGACACTAATTTTGTATCCACTGGATGCTAATTCTGGCCAAATTGATTCCTTTATTGAATTACTATGTTTATTATTAAGTATCAGATGTTCCAAGTTCTCCATTCTAACAATCGGTGAAGCTATAATAATAAAAATATTTTCATTCATATTTGTGCTATTAGTCTATAGAAAGTGTAAAAAATTTTCTCAGCCTATAGTCTATACATGTATATATGCACAGATCTATATATTTTTTTTTCTCTTCTCTTTTACTTTTCTAGTCTGGATCTTTTCACAATCGAAGTTGAATCAAAAAAAATTGGAAAATTTTGTATATAGCACTTACCATTTCGAGATAAATCCATCTCTACTGCTTCTATTTTACTCCTTTCCTCGCTCATTCTCGCAAAAAGTGTATAATGATTTAATTAATTTATATTATGATGTGATTTATGCAGGATTAGACAACAAAAGAAGAGTCATTTTTGGACATTTTTTTTCTCGATTGCGAAAAATTCAAATTTTACACTTTTTTAGGACGAATTTCATTAAAATTTTGATTAATGTTTTAAAACTGGCACTTTAATTGTTGTTTAAAAGCTTATCTGTGCAGAGAAAATGTACTTTTTAAAATATTTTTAACTTTTCTCAAAAAATTGTTCTGCAATATTATTTCCTATATATAATATTATGTTTGGCTTTTTAGGGCACAGCTTGACAATGGAATATGAGTATCGCTGAGTTATCAAAATAGCGCGAGCTGAACCAGTATAAACCTCTTTAAAAATAGCTTAAAAAGCAATGAAATAAAGCAAATTATCGCAATAACGGTGAGAAAAAATGTAAGCATTTAAAGTTCAAATTTTTGAGCTAAGTTCAAATTTTGAACTGAATTCAAAAAAAATTAACTTTCATCCTCTTGCTGTGCTGAATGGGACGAGATTATAGTGTTTTGATGATAGGTACGAAGCTTAAATGCTATGGGTACGCAGTTAAAATAAGTGTAACCGTCAATTAAAATTTGAATTCTTTGTTTTCATTTATTTGGAGTATTTTGAAAATTTAAAAAAATAATTTTTACTCGTTTATGCTCTAATTAAGCATAAATGTTTCAGTGTGATTAGTCAATATTTGACGAATAATACTTATTGGCTTGAAAAAGGTATGCAGACATAGTCAAGTATGATCATTAAAACGATTTGAAAAAATTAACAGGTTTCTGAAAATTATTGTTAATTATGCTGTAATATGCTAGTGTCTTAACAGTTTGCATGATTTTCCATCCACTAGTCTTCACAATTAGATTAATGAAATACATGAGAGCTAGTCAGCTCATCATAATTGTGTCTTTGCCGAATGATTGAATAATTTTTTACGTTTTGCTAAACTTGGTTCTATTTTTAGAAATAATGCATAGAAAGGAACAATAATGCTGCCATTAAAAATATTGCAATGTTCATTGAGATCAACAACATGTAGTGCAAATATATTTAAACTTAAGTCATACTTCGTACCTCAAAGGATTTTATTAGTTGATCAGAAGAAGATTTTTGGAGGATGTATACAGCAATTTCTTGTAAATTACAGCAGCAATGCACAACTCAAGAAGTCCGATGTAACAGTTAAAAGTGTTAAGAGAGCTGATTTATTTCAAGAAGCTCTAGAAAAGAAGAAGCAATTGCTTAAGGAGAAAAAACAGCAGATCCAAGAGAATATCAGAGATAGGAAGTCAAAAGTCGAGGAAGTAATTGAACGTGAAAACATCTTTACCATTCCCAATTTTCTCTGTATCGGACGAATAGCTATGTCTCCATATCTCGGTTATGTGATCATACAAAGCAATTATAGCGTTGCTATTGGACTATTGATTGTAGCTGGACTGTCTGACTTTGCTGATGGATATATAGCACGTAATTGGAAAGGACAAAAGTCAAATTTCGGAAGCTTTCTTGATCCTTTGGCTGATAAAACTTTGGTAGCTTCTTTAGTAATTTCTATGACCTATAGCAACTTAATGCCTTTATGGCTAACTTCTGTTATTTTATTTCGTGACATTTTCCTCATTGCTGCTGCTTTCGTCATCAGATACAATAGTCTTCCACCAGAACATAGAACTTTAACAAAATATTTCGATGCTACACATGTTACAGCTCAACTAGCACCAACATTCATTAGTAAAGTAAATACAGCTGTCCAACTATTCACAATTGCTGCATCGCTAGGAGCTCCAGTCTTTAATTATAGCGATCATATGATTTTACATGGACTTTGGTATTTAACAGGCATAACAACAGCAGCTGCAGCACTATCATATTGGACGCAACGAAAAGAAACTTACAAATATCTTCGAAAGTCTTAAAAATTGACGTTATAGCCAGTGAAAATTCGTTTTAAAAAGTTGTAAAAATTTTAATAAATCATTTTTGTAGAAAACAATTTTTATCAATTACATTAATTCACTTAAAACACTACGATAATGTTCTAGTTCCTGAAATTCACGATTTGATTGTGTCAATGAATACAGATTTGGACAGTCAACTGATACACATTTAAAATTAAAACCTCGTCCACAGCATGTCTGACAAAGTAATCGAGCTGCCATAAACTTTTTCTCAACACATGACATCTTATCGTTCAATATAATCCCTGATATTTGTGGATATGCCTTACAATTTTCACAAATATTATTCTCACAATTATTATCACAAATTACGCAACTCGTCGTATTAAAAAATTGAGATATCGTTTGTTTCTTCAATAAGTGACTATTTGTAACTGGAAGTGATTTATGCTTCTTTGGAAGTTCTGCAAACCAATCATGAGCATTTGCACCAATCAGAAGTAAACATCGATTTAATGGTGGGATTACAGATTTTGTAATATAATACAAGCTATTGATTTTTAAGCTCTCATCATTAAGCACTTCTAATGGTGGCTTGACTAACTTGATTAACGTAGAATTTGGTGGTCCGTTAGTAAGCACAAAAGGCACTCGTTCACCTTTTCTGGGCTCATTTCTTGGATCTGATGTTTTCCATTTTCTAGTAAGAGTTAATGCAGGAACGACAGCTTTTTGTTTATATCCTTGAATTCCTCTAAATTCCTTTGCAATAATTAAATCCTGTATGCTCATTTTCCCTTCTAAAATCTTTGTAAACTGTCTGCATACATATTCCTTAACTTTGCTAACATCATGTGTATTAAATAGAATTTTAAGGGTTTTTTCTAAAATTTTAGAAGCTGCTGGACATCCATCTCGTCTGATTGTTTCAATTCCTTTTGCTTCAAAAATTGGCTCCTTTTGATCTGCACTTTCGTACATACTTCCAACGTATCCTGTGAATTTAAATAACCGTTGGAAATTATTTTTGAATGTTTTAAAACCATACAAATGTTTGACAAATTCAAAATGAATTTGTATGGTTTTAAAGCATTTAAATCTTGAATTACCGTTAATATTCTATTACTTACTCTTTTTCGTCTGAAGAATGCATGGCTGATAAACTTTCTCGAGTTTCAACTTTAAAGGAACTGGATTATCTTTAGTCACAGCATCAGCAATTTCTTCTCCAATTTTAAATGCTTCTTCTCTGGTCCGTCCAGGAACTAGAACAAACATTGAATCAGTGTCTCCATAGCAGACTTTACATCCCCATTTCTTATTTGCTTCAACCAATTGTATTGCTCGTTCAAGAGTTTCTCTTCCTTTGCTGACAACAGAATCTCCAACTTCAATTGCAGGCATTCGTCCACTAAAATTAGCTGCAGTATATCCATAAGTTACATTGGCAATCAATTTTAGACCAAGTTGACGCGAATGCAGAACTCTTTGTAGTGCTGTATTATTTTTATAAAATTTCATTGACTGCTTAACCATAAATCTACAGTCTAGAATCTCTTTTAACATTCGTGGCAAGACACCTTCCCTAATTGATGACTTTACATAAGCTACACCGCATGGAGACACAGTAACAAGATCATTTTCCAATAAAAATTGTAGCCTCGATGGTGATACTCGCAATTGATAAGCTCCAAATTCAAAAGGCTGATAAGATCCTTTTAATAAATGCTCAACTCGTCCTAAGCATGTAGAAAAGCAGTAATTGTATCCAATAATAATACTTGGATATAAACTTTGAAAATCCAAAACTATGACTGGATCTGTATAAAATCGTGACTCAGGTTCCAAAATTAAAGCAATATATTCAGGTGCACGCATATGTAATCTCTGCTGAACACTTGGTGACACAGCTACTAAATTTCTCCTTTTAGCTATCCTAAGCATCATACTTTCAACACGAAATTGTGAACCTCGTGATAGAACTTCGAAGAACTGAATACCAAATAATTTTGCTAATTCACAAGTTCTTCCTATAAGATCCAGTTGATTAAGGATTTCTAGCAATATTTTTGCTCTCATCATGTAATATTCAAGTACAATCCATTTTTTTAACGATTGACTCCACATTGATGTAAGAAATGGGAAGGTATGCTTTGGGTACCTGTTGAAAGATTTAAAAAAAAATAACAGTCAAAAAATATTTAAAAAATTGAGTTCAAAAAACATTCAGAGTAAAGTTCAAAAAATATTTGAAAAAAGCCGTTAAAAATTGAAATTTACCTTCTGTGCAGGATGTGATAAGCTATATTTTCAAAACTATATGAGGTCAAAGCAATCTCATGTCTCATTAATCTCCAAACATCCAACATAATTCGTCCAGGAATCTTTTGTTCTGTATTATAATCTCCTTGATCGCCATGTTCTTCTTCTTCGTGCATAGTTCTTGTCTTTGGTTCCTTATCTAAAGGCATTCTTGAAAGTGCATTACAAAGATTCATATTAAGCACAAAGCCTCTTTCGAATAAATATCCCCAAGAAAGTAATTCTATTTCATAGCCAGCAAAAATGTCTGGATCGAAAATACGGATTTTTTTGAAAAATTCTTCAAGCAGTTCCAGCTCATTTTTGACTCTAATTATTTCTATTTGTTCCTTAAAATACCCTAAATTGTCATTAGGTTCACATATAATAATTATTCCACTAGACGATGTAGCTTGTTCATTGACATAAAATCCTTCAACACAGTAAAAAATAGCCACAATTTCATCAGTTTCAGGATTTGGATTAAAATCACCTTTCGTTTGTGCATGAAGTTCCATAGATAATATAGTCAAGTCATTGTGCTCATCAGTAGACTGTAAACTTTCAAGTTTCATTTTAAAACCAAAAGTTTCACTCATAGTTGATGCCTCATAACTGTCATTTAATGGAATGTTTGCGTCCGGAATTATTGAACATATAAATGTGTCATCAGAAAGCTTATTGCTGCTGCTATTTGACTGAGAATCTTTAAGTATATCCTCGGATGAGTCTGACATCTTTTCATTGTCTGGCGATGACTGAGATGATTCAGAAATTGTTTGAATTTGGTCCATGCCCGAAGTGGAACCGACTTTTGCCTTCATAATTTCTTGGAAACGCTCACTAAATGTCTTTTTAGCTCGTCTTCTTCTCTTTTTTCGAGCACTGTAGCTTAGATAAATTCCATCCTCAATAAATTCAGTTAATGTCTGTGATTCTTTTTCTAAGGAACTTGGTATAACTCGTGGGTCATTCTTTACGTCAGGTGATTGTGGAATTAAAGTTTTATCTAAATCTTCTTCCTGCATTTCACCATCAGTTTCAAGAACATTAAACGTTTTTATACGCTTTACTTTAACTGGACTGTCTTCAAGAATACAAACTCTTTGTGATTCAGTTTCTTCAATTCCAGTTTGCAACCATTTTTTTGCATCATTATAAGTTGGTGGTTCCTTAATTGGATGTATAATAATGTCTGAATTATCATCAATAAGATCTGTTGTGTGTGCAATATTTTTTGGCATAAATCCTAAATGATATGAAAGTTTTTGTGCCTGGAAATGTTTTAACTGATTATTACCGAAAATTGTGCTTTTAAAGTCTTCACAATCATTAATTTTATTACTGTGGATTTCCAAAATGTTATATCCAACTTCCTTTTTGTCAGACACATCACCTGGATTGCTATAATATGCATGTGGATTAACAGTGCTTGGAATGTCATATTCTTGCAATTTATCGAGAACAATACTTGGATCTGGCGGATCATATGCTAATGTTATCACACATGACTTATTTTCATCGACAGGCTCGGTTTTGATAGGAAAGTCTGTCGATTCATTTGATTGGTTTTCTAGAGATTCCAAATCTGCATCATCAAAATCATTAGTAAGCAAAGTTTGGTCATAAAAGCTCTTCATTTGCTCATCGTCACTATCACTTTCAATTGACATTATATCATCAATTTCTTCCTTAACATTAGCTGTCTGATTAAAGTGGCACATGAGAGCATTAAGATTGTCTTGTAAATCATTTGAATTTTCAGAAAACGAAAGCGGTTCTGATTTTATAAATTGTTTCGATGGTCCAGGATTCATTTTCGAGTCAATTTCATCGTCCACGCCATCAAGTTGTGGAAAAACTTCATCGTTTTCATCATCAAGCATTGCAATTTCTAAATCAGCAAGTGTCATGTTAAATTCGCTTTCATCTTCAGCATCAAACTCTTCAAATAAATGTCTAACTTGACTCTCATCAAGCTGTTCATTAATGTCACTTTGCGTTGTCTTTCCACTGTGCTGAGTCTGCGAAAATGGAGCTAATAAGCTGTCAAAATCATCCTCATTTTCTGCTGTATTTAAAATGTCATTAAGTTGACTTGTTGATGCAGCACTACTTTGTGTATTAAGAAAATAACTTTCTAGTTCCTCGACTGTTTGACTTATATCCATTGAAAGTGTCACATCCATTTCATCTTGTTGATTTGATGATCCTGAGCTTTGTGAAAATTCTGCACCATAAGTCGTTGCCTCTAAATAATTCCTAAGATCAAATTTCTTTTTAAAAGTATTCTTACTCTCATCAAGTAACGTTGAGCTTAGTTCCTCTGGCTTTTTGTCATTATTTAAAGAATATCGATCTTTTAATGCTCTTAAAAAAAATAATTCACTACTTGTTGGATCACAGATTCGAGGCTCATCTTTTTGTGTCTTTAATTCCGGCAGTTCCTGCGAATTTTGCATTCTTCTTCTACGTTCATCCTCCCAGATCGACTCAATCCCCATATTTGCAGCTTTTTGACTTGCTTCATTATTTTCAAGCAGTTCTGTTCGATTTAAAATGAATGCACCGCTAAAGTCAACTTCTAAACTTGATACAGCTTTCTTTTTATGTCTTGTATCACTAGCTATGGATCTTGTATGAACTTTATTCATTGGTACATGAATATATCCCATTCCACACAAATTAAAGTCAATAAAGAATCTAAGGATGTAAGGAACATGACTTTCGTGTGGTTGAAACATTTTACCCAATATACTTCCAGATTGAAGTAATCCAGAAGTCCTTTTGATTAAATTTGGATTGTATAGCTCAATACGGAAAAACTGATGTTCATTAGAATGAAACCCATAGTAAGGAATGCCTTTACACAAAGATATTTGATAGACATGATGTGTTGTGCTATTTGTCTGTCCAAACGAAGCATTCAATTTCTGATCTATTTGCTGAAAGTTTAAATTTATTAATAAATATCAATTATGCAGGTAATTAAATAAATTACATTCGCCATCTCCTTCATCATTAGGTCAATCTTAACTGGATCAGTTTCAGGACATGGACAGAATATGTATGGGAAGACATTGTGTATATTACAGCAAATTTTTTTCTTTTTCTTTGTGATTCCAAACACTCTAATTATCGGCACATTCTTTACGTCTTTTTCTCTGAATTTAGAGTATGTCACGTCGAGATTTTGTACTGGATAGAAGTTGTAATAATCAGCAGTCACAATTTTTACAGATAAAATATTATTCATAACTTAGATATAGTATAATTTAATAAATTACTAAATGTTATGAAATTTTAACAAACAAAATAAACACACGACTTATAAGCCAACGAACTTCCAGGCCTTTTGATAAAACTGTTTGTAAAAAATAGAGTTGGCTGTAATTTTAGAATTTCTGATGATTCAAATTGATTCAAATAAGATTTCACAGAGTGCTTTTTACTAGTAAAACAATGATTTGGAGCTCATAATGTAAAACTGACAACTTTAAAGTTAATTTAGTGCAAACATAAAAGTTTACAAAGGAATAAACGGTAAAATACAATTTAAAATGAGATGAGAGTATTGAATGAAAAAATTCAAATTTAAAAAGTCGGTTGAAAAAAATCAAAACAAATGTCGAATTTTCGAGAAGGGCCTATTCATAAATTATTATCAGCATTAATGGGGGAAGGGGGTCTGTAGTTTTGTGAGAGTTTTGTACAAAGACGAAGGGGGGTCTTAAAATATTGTTTTTATTGACATTATTTATAAACAGCCACGATTTAGTTCGAGTTTTCTACAAAAACAACGGAAAGAGTGATTCGAGTTGCAATGTAAAATCGTGAATTAAAGTATAAAGACATAGAATTGGCAGTGATTATAAAAATTAATTTATAAGTTATTGTAAAATTTGTTCGAGGCAAGCAACACAAAAGATTCAAAAATGACAAAAGGGTTCCTGATTTTTCTTTTACTTTTCAATATTTATCATCAATCTTCGGGATTTTTTCAATCGCCGGATAAGGTCGCTGAGAAGCAATGTTTCTGTGAAGTAAGTTCTTATCATTGATTAAAGAATTACTTTGTGACATTATCTTGATCAATATGAATCATTTTGGGAATTTCCGCAAGAAATTAGAAATTCATGAAAATCGGAACTGTATCTTTTTGTGTACGTGCCTCTTTTCGTGCATATACGTACATCTGTTTTGTTCCTACATGTTCTATTGTCGTGTGTAAAAAGATATATCATAACAAAAACATACTTTATTCATTATTGCTATAAAGTACTAAGTTCTTATCAATTAATGCCGTGTATTTATTAATCTAATTTTTTTTTATTTCACTTTACAGCTTAAAGGCAATGTTGATGATTGTAGCTGTAGCGTTGATACGGTCGATTACTATAACAATGTTAAAATATTTCCACGATTAAAGAGTCTTTTACAATCCAATTATTTCCGATTCTTTAAAGTCAATTTACATAATGACTGTCCATTTTGGAAGGACGTTGACTTTGAGTGTGCTATGAAATTCTGTCATGTTGAATCATGCGAAGAGAAAGACTTACCAGTTGAATTACAAGATGACATTGACGACAAACCTAAGAAGGAAGCACCAAAAGATAAATATCTGAAAGAGAATCAAGTTTTAGGATGCAAAGAAGATTACAATAAGGAACTAGATTTAGTCAATAAATCTATTAGCGAGAAGCAACACGAAGAATTGCAAAAATGGTCAGAACATGATGAAGCACAAGACAGTTTTTGTGTATTGGACGACCATCAAGAGAAAGCAGAATATGTTGATTTATTGCTTAATCCAGAAAGTAAGTTGCGAAATTTTGTACCTTTACCTTCGCATGAATTTTGTATGACGTGTACTTTCTCCAATTACATCATCTTATTCTCATTCTCTTTATTTCACTTTCATAGGATTTACTGGTTATCAAGGACGATCTGCTAACAGGATATGGCAGACAATTTATAAGGAAAATTGCTTCAAATCCCCAAAAGTATCAAAAGAACAGTCATCATACAAGCAATTAATGAAAACGAAAGTATTAGATGAAACTTGTTTAGAGGAAAGAGTTTTTTATCGAATGGTATCAGGTTTACATGCAAGCATCAACGTACATTTGGCAGCTAACTTCTTACAGTCTGAAAAAGATTCACCGTTAGGAATGGTTTCAAAGAATGGACTATGGGGACCTAATTTAAAGGAATTTGTCGCTAGATTCAGTCCAGAAACAACATATGGTGAAGGTGAGAAATGGCTTAGAAATTTATATTTCGCATATCTTGTCGAACTACGTGCAATCGCAAAAGTCGCACCTTATTTAAGAAATGAAGAATTCTTCACTGGAATCGAAAAAAGTGATAAGGAAGTCAGACTTGCAGTTAATGATATATTAAATGTGATTGAGGCATTCCCTTCGCACTTTGACGAAAGTATTATGTTTAATGGAGTCAATATAAACTTGAAGAATGAGTTTCGTGAAAAGTTCCTGAACATTTCACGTATTATGGACTGCGTGGGTTGTGATAAATGTCGTTTGTGGGGTAAATTACAAACTCAAGGAATGGGAACAGCACTGAAGATTTTATTCTCCGGTAAATTTGAACACAATACTCTCGAGAACAACATTTATGTCACAGATCATCCAATAAGGGATGACTTTAAGATGAGAAGAAGTGAAATTGTTGCACTATTTAATGCATTTGGAAGGTAAGTCATTGTAATATGTTACTAATTTATGAATTATTAATTATTTTCTTACCTTTTTGCAGACTGTCAAGTTCAATTTACTACCTAGAGTTGTTTAGAAATCAACTTAGATAATATTAAAAGGATTTTAAATTAATTTTGTTGGCATTTTGATGAACAAAAAAAAACAAGCATCAAATGCTTACAATTTGATATTAACGTATAGTCAATGAAGCTGGACTTAATGTTTTAATTGTTAGAGAGAAACTATTTTTCGTCCATTCTCGTTTTTACCTACATACCTACCTTAATTAAAATTATTTTTGGCATAAAAGAATATTAAATTTAACGATAAAGCTAAATGTTTAAATTATGAAATAAAATACGTTCTGCTCATGACGATCCATTATACTATCAGGTGTGAATTAATTATTCAAGTATAGACATTCGTGTTTTAGCAACTGTGTTTGCTATCCTTCCTTCCATCTCATAAAGACATCACATTATTTTGCTTAATATATGCATTTTCTATGATTATTTTTTGTTACTGATTTTTGTAAAAATAAAGAACCTTTGTGTTGTGAAATTCTGTGTAATTGTTTATTTTTTTATCTTACAGCATGTTGAGCCTTTAATTGAACTTGTAAATGTGACACGACAAATAATTTTGATGCGCAACATCCACGTGACATTTGTTTTAAGAAAACAATCAAGCTTTTATTGGATCTGACTGGAGCTTTTGTCGATGATTAGAAGCTTGGTGTTGAAATAACAAGTGAATTGTCGTTGTAATCGGACATGCTCTTATAAATTTCTTAAATTCAGCATATAAACAGCATGATTATCAGCAATAAAAGTCAAAAGTTTAAGCGTAAAAGAAATCATTTATTTATTGTTGTAACAATTGTTCATTTTAATCACAAAAAATGCTTTTAGGACATTTTATTTTAAATTATTTTTTATTTAGATCTTCATTAAAAGTGCAATTTTCGCCTATTCTGCTATGTCAAGAGAAAGAATTGCTCTGAATGCAAAGCTGTATTTTTTTGTAAATATTTTTTAAGTATTTTTTTTTTTTCGTTGAGAGAATAAAGACTTTTTTTGGGTATTTTTCTTAATTTTTTTTTTAATTGTTGAGCTCGACAAATTTAAAGCTTATTAATGCACTCTTCTGATTCGATATATTCTATCTCCCAAGACCTAATTTTCCTGTTTTGACATAAGGATAAAGAGAATTGTTAAAAACATTAAAATAATTTCGATCTTTTTGAAATCAAAGAATTTATTTCAACGTGCTTATTGAAAAGAGTTATGTCCAATTCATATGCTTACAAATAGTTAAATAACTTAATGTGCTTTTATACATATTTATAAAAATTTATCATTAAAGAATACAATTAAGGGGCCGTTCACTTATTACGTTCGCATTTTAGGGAGAGGGGGTTTTGAAAAATTTTAACAAAATGTAACATAGGGGGGGGGGGGGTAGAAGTATGTAACGTTATAAATGTCGTTCATCTTTTAAAAAAAAGTTCACGAAAAAAATTTGTTTACAAATTCACATTAAAAACATTTTCAAAATAAATTATGAACAGGGGGGGGGGGGGGGGGGTTGTGAGTTGTAACATATTGTAACAAGGGGTTTTTTTGCGTATGTAATAAGTGAACGGCCCCTTAAAAGAATTAAAAATAAAAGTTTTACACAGCAGTCAAGATGCGATGGTCTGTAGAATGATTATTTACCATCCCGAAGCAGCTGTCAAGCATTTTTGACTACTGAGGATATAGGTTCGTTCACTTATGAAATCTTTCAAAACAAATCAAATTCTTCCGAATATTAATTCCAAACGCCTAAAATTTTAATTATGCTCAAACGCTGTTTTTAATGTCAAACGTCATAAGTGAATGCCCCTATAGTATCATACAGAAGTGTCAATTAAGCATTAATTTCCATAAATATAAAACAAAGCAAAAAGCATTTTAAAACATTTTTCAATCGATTTATGCTAATGCTATTTACATTATGTACAAAACATTATGCTGCTATCAAAAATATACTATCTATATCGTAAAATTTCGTTCATTGCGTGTAATTTTCTCAAGTCTTTCGTCTCGAATCGTCAGAGACTAGTTTTTTTATTTTGCGGATATTAAGCAAATAGAAAGAATCGTATATCGGCATGCATTTCAAAAAAGAGTTTTATCTCAAAAAGTATTATTTAAAAATATTCTTAGATTGAACGATAATTAGATTTTATAAAAAATTAGTATTCATCTTCATCGCTGATATCACTGCAATTTACTAATAGTTTGCTATAATAAAAAAATTGCCAGAACGATAAAGGAAAAAAAAGAATAAGAAAGTAAAATTATAAATTAACAACAAATCATTTTAATTATTTCCACGTTTTCAATTCATCATGAATAAACAGGTGATGTCAAACGTAGAGTGCGCTAATTTACATTGTTATGGGCATTTTGAGATCGATGGAAATGAATTTTACGGACTTATTGGAATTAAGACTATTAAAGGACTCAAATTAGATGTTTTTTTTTTGTTCTGATCTAGTACATACTCTAGGAGTCAGTTATAAGTGACTTTAGAAAACCCGTTGAAGCTCTCATTAATAAACTCTTTAAATCTGATCTTGTAGATAGAAATGAGTGCCCCAAGAATTCTTTTATGGACAGTTACTTTAAATTTGGAATTGACATGCGATAGCCAGCTAAAAGCGTTGTCTAAGCAATGACATTGATCACAATTGATCTGTAAAGCCAACAAAGTTTGAACTAAGTAAGTTCTTAATGGAACATTAAATAGAAATTCTTCGAAATGGCACAAAATGTTAAGATTGCCAAATATCCAGTAAAAATATTAACTCCGAACAATAGATCCCGAGCGAGACTTAAATCTGCGTCCTACGATTCCCGTTTGCATGCTCCCACAACTGAGCCATCTTGTGTTACTCGACTTTAAGGCTAAATCCCATATGAAAGTTACATTCTTTTCTGTTTCCTTGCATTAAAATGATTTATCGTTGACTGGCTATTACATGGAATAGCTTATTCTAAAAATATTATCTAACCATGTTATGTGATTCAATACCCTTGATTCAACCCTGCTCAACGCCACAACGACTAAGGGGCCGTTCACTTATTACGTTACGCAAAAAAACGACTTTTTTCACCCCCCCTCCCCCCTTGTTACAATATGTTACAACTCACACCCCCCCCCCCCCCCTGAACGTTCATAATTTACTTTATTTTGATAATTTTTTATTCTAAAAAGACGGTTAAATTTCTTTTGTATTACATCAAAATACTGTTTTATATTATTTGATTGAGATATAAAGCAAAAATTTGTTTTTTTGGAAGAAAATTCAAAAATGTCATGAAAAATATTATGCCCGATCGAATTTTGGAAAATTTAATCAACTTTGAATGTAAATATCACAATGATGGGATCATATTAAGGGCCGTTCACTTATTTCGTTCAAACTTTAGGGGGGAGGGGGGGGGGGGGGGGGGTTTGAAAAATTGTAACAAAATGTAACATAGGGGGGGGGGGGGGGGGTATGTAATGTTCTAAATGTCGTTCATCTTTTAAAAAAAGTTCACGAAAAAAATTTGTTTACAAATTCACATTAAAAACATTTTTTCAAAATAAAATAAATTATGAACAGGGGGGGGGGGGGTGTGTGAGTTGTAACATATTGTAACAAAGGGGGAGGGGGGGGGGTTTGAAGAAAGTAATTTTTTTTGCATAACGTAATAAGTGAACGGCCCCTTAAACGAGAGATTTACTTTTAAACTTATGATTAATAAATTTTTTTGGTGTGAATTTGTAAACAAATTTTTTTCGTGAACTTTTTTTTTAAAAGACAGACGACAATTAGAACGTTACATACTTCTTGATACCCCCCCCCCCCCCCCCCCCCCCTTATGTTACAATTTTTCAAACCCCCCCTCCCCCTAAAATGCGAACGTAATAAGTGATCAGCCCCTAAGACATACAGTCAAAAAAAAAAACAAAACAATTAATATCAACAAAAATAAAAGAAGATCCATCAATCTCAAAATGCCTTTCCATCCAACATAGAATTCAATCAAATTCAAATAAAATGTTAACGCACCCTTAAAAATCGATTGTTAAAAATGACAGAAAGGTAATGAACAAAAACAAGAGTTTATGCAAAAAATAAAAGGGGTGCATGGGGGGTGATCACGATAAATATTTAAGCAACAAAAATTCAATGTGACAACGTGTTTTACAATTAATTAATTAGCCGTGAGACACAAGTACTGGATGTCATACTCACTTTTCTTTCGCACTTGGGAATTCGGCATAGACACGAGGATCTTTGTGGCAAGCCTTTTCGCAACAAGGACAATACCAATAAGATAAAACGCCAATGGACACAGCAAAAAGAACATTTGGAATTATTATTGATAGAATTAAGTGCTTAAGGTTCTCTTCCCATGAATATCGTGCAGTAACCAATTCACTGAAATGTAAAAAATATTCATCAGTTAACTGGCAATTACTCAAGAACTCCTTTATATTACTTGAAAGCTCTGCTATAGTAACAAGGGAAAGTTCTTGTTCTGACATGCTCATTTCTGGAAATTAAGGCATCAAATTTAATTAAAAGTAATTCACAATAATACCACATCCTTACCCAAATTGCTTAGCAAACTCCGTACAATTAACATAAGGTGGATAACCACATCCTTCAGTATTGATTAAAAATCTTGTATCAGCTACATCCCAATCAACAAGTTCCAAATCAACTGGATTTTTGGCCCATTCTTTGTACGGAATTTTTGTGTAATTTACTGTCATTTGATGACATCTTGTTTGTGCTGTTGTGCATCCTTAAATTGAGAAAATGATGTATTGTTAATGAATATGTCAGAAGTTCAGCTTTTTGAATGACGTCGTTTGCGAATTTGACATACCTTCACGACAGGAGCTCCATGTACAATTTGTGATTCCCTCACTGTATGTATGATCGCTTATTACACACGTGACGGGTTCTAAATGATAAAAATGAAATTTAATTAATTTTAAATTAAAGAAAGCTTGAATTTGAATTCTTTAACGTACCTGGATCGTAATCAGCTGTTAGTGCAGATATAGCAGGATCAACGACAAATGGAATTAAAAATAGAAATGCAAATACGGATAAAATTGCAGTTGTGCCTGAATAGAAAGGTAAGAATCATAATTAGCTTGATATTTAAATATTTATTGAGTCAAAACTCTAAAACATAAATAAGATACATACCCAACCCCACAGATGTATACCACTTCGCCTTCTCTATATATTGAGCTATAATTTCTTTGCGCGTTAATGGCACATCCGACTTATTTGATTTCTTTGACGATGTAGATTTTTGTGATGAATGACTCGACGCAATGGAAACTTTACTTTGCGATAAACTTGGTGCTGCTGACAACGTGCTTGCACTTGTTCGTAACTCAGACCGCATGATTGATGAGATATTAAATTTTAAGTATCTAATTTAACTATTTATTTTTATGTAACTTTAAACTATTATCCTTTTCTTGAATCTATTTCCTTTGTACACGATTTCTATTTCACTTTCAACTTTATTCAACAACTATAAATTAACTGGATGTCTGATATTATTAATTAAAAGTCCATACGATTAGACTAAGGTAGGCATTTTATGTTAGAAAGAGTTTTTATTAAGTTTTTCACGCATTCCTCCTTGATTTCTTTTTTTATTCTCTGTGAATTTTTAACTGCTTTATACTTCCTTTGTTTTTTAATTTTGTTCTGTGATGTTTTTGACTATTGTTTTGCTCTATATTTAATGAAGAAAATTATTAAATGTCACTTAACTTATCATGATTTTCATGATACTTCATATATTCCCTGCATTATCAGTCATACAATAATTTGTTGGCTGATGAATGCAGAAAAAAAGCACATTTTCAAAGCTTGATTGCTTCATACCCGAATTTGTAGATGAAAAATCAATTTACTAAACTTGGATATTGATGAGTTTGTGGAAATATTCTTAAGTATCTTGGGGTTTTGTATTAAAGCGCTTGATTTGAACATTTGGATGCAGATATTTATGTGATAAATATTGTGGATGAAGTAATATTGATAATGTGCATTATCAATAATCATTTGGTTAGTAAAAATATAGGAAAAAGAATCATTTTTATAGGTTTATAAAATTTTAGCGTCACTGTATATAAGCAGAGATTTATTGCAGAGAAAAAACACCGCCTTGTTGATGAACTGGGCTGCCTTGGGTGTCTTGTAGAAGAGGAATGCCTGTAAATTATTCCAGAGTTTAGCTTATTAAGTCTAATCTTTAATCTTTTCACTTACGTGATGGATCTCAGAGTGCATCAGTATTTTCCTCATTATGTGGATTAAGCTTCCCAGTGTCCTCGTTTGTGAGGCATTTAAACCTCATTTTCGAATCGTCACCAACCACGATTGACTTTTGACAAACTGTCAATATGAAACAAGAGACCACCAACAAAATAACTGGCACGAAAAATGCAAATACGAACTGCTTATATTCAATATCTAGGTCAAACCTCTGAAAAGAACATAAAATTTCTTTATGAGATTGCCAAGTTCAAGTTATAATAGACATAATAATTTACCTGAACAGCTTGACCCACATCCATTGGTGAAAAGAAACATGGAAATCGGGCACGTGCGTTATGATCAGATCCATCTTTAGCATAGACACGGAAGAAATCTTTACATTCATCACGTAGTGTATTGACGCATCCTTCTAGATTAATCATCAATCTAGACTCATTAGAAATTGTAAGATCTCCATCAAATGGTGCAATTGAGCGATTAAGCTCTGCTTCAGCATAATGTAAGTATGCTAAGTATGTGAAATTAGATAAATCACCAAGCATAGTTTTATTTGATAATGTTGATCCATTAACACAATCAATGGCGTCAATTATTCCAGTATTGGCAGTATAATTAGCTTTAAAGCATGAAGCCATAAGTATATTGTCGGAATCATTCCAAACTTCTTCCTTAGATGTCGAATTTACTGCATAAACACATTTAGATAGAAAAACCTATGGATATGGAAATGATGTGAGTCAAGTGGGCTAATTCTATTTGATATTATACATACATTATCTCCACTTAATAATATGACATTTTTATTGCGTGTTGGGATGTCACGGCATCTACGATCACAGTTATACGGCGCCTTAATTTTCTCACATCCACCTTTATTGCAACTAAACAGCCCATTGATCTCCATACAAGTTACTTTCCCTCGTCTCCCAGAACACTTCATCACAGGATCAACATTATGGAACTCGCACTCAAAAACATCCGTTATGTTATGACACACGCCTTTCGTGCAATTAAATATTCCCGTGAGATTTTTACATTCCTCTTTAATGCACGTAAAGTTCTTTGCAACTTCTGTGTCTATCCCATAACAAGTCTTGTTCACAAAATTTGTACAGTTTTGAAACTGTAGAGAACTGCCATTTTGACGTAAATTAACGAATATTTGCAAACATGCACCAGTACCCTGTAAAATAAAAGTTGTATCATATCAGGTGCTGCATCCGATAAAACTTTATCATTTTGTGTCTAATGAAAAAAGTTCTCACCTTACTCAAGCACCATTCGCCACACGTTGTCCAATTACAACTTTCTTTCATTGCACTTCTTGTTGTGATGCACATAACAGGATCTGTTTCAATGCCCGACGAGAATGCTTTATTTGCTGGGACATAGACAGCAACTGTTCGATGGTGACAAATTTATTCAATTAATTAGTTTTTATTGCTGTAGAATAACTTTTTTATGCTTCATACCTGTTAAGTACACAACGGCTACACATGAAAGAATTAATGTCATTTGACAGACGCATATTGTGCCACAAATTCTATTGTCTTGTGGTGGAATTAGAAGATCTTCTTCTGCAACTTGCTTTTTCTTTCCCATTTTTTATGTCTTGCTATTTATTACTTTTTATTTTGTTTTTGAATTCAACATTTAATCATGTTCATTTCCGCTATGGATATCTACATACGTGAAAGTTTTTATTATTCACCTTTTTATTTAAATCTATATTTCCTGATAATTATTAGTTAAGGAAGTGAAAAAAAAATGTTAAAAAAAATCGGACATGCAAAGTATATCTGCACAAATTAAAGCATGAGAATATCAAAAGGACAACTTTGTGTGTGCCTGTATATATTTTTAAACATGGAGAAACATGAAAAGAAAATATCGATTTTTCTTTCCTATATAGCACTGCAGTACTTCCCTAACGTAACTTTATCGATTTTTCTTAAAAATGGTGAAAAATCCTTAAAATGATGAAAAACTTTATAAATTTATACAAGGATAGATAGGATATTAGGTTTAGAATAGGTTTAATATTTTTTTATAAGCAATTTACATCCAAAAAGTGACTTAAGAGATTTTTCAATTTTTTCCCATGAAAATTTTTCAATCGAACTTTTCCACAACTTTTCAAGAATATTCCAAGTTTTGCAACGATTTTTCAGTATTCTTTGCACTAGATTAACAAGATGAAAATGTTTTAATTACATTTTAGTAATATTAAGTCACAAAAAAATTACAAATAAAATTTTCTTCACAGAGCTTTCTAATTTTTCCTTCCGACTAGTTTTACGTTTCAAAATAAAATGACTGGTCAGTGAGGAGGTTTTAAGGCGCTTGAATTTTTCCAGATAACTTTTTTTGCTGTATCAAGTTCTGTTAAATTATATTTTGATATAGATTTATTGATGGAACCACAAAAATCTTCTTAAACTTATTGAAAAGCTTTAATTTAAGAAAAACATTTTCCAACATAATTTTGTAGCTCAAAACCTAGCAAAATTGAGAAGATTCAGCAATTTTTAGTCCTGCGCATTTAGAAGTAAATAAATAAGATTTCGTTAAAGCTTCACGTGCTTCGTCAAGCCGTCACGTGCTTTTCAAAAGCTTTTCAAACTTTTGCCGGTAATTGTTTACAAACTTGTTGAATTTGTGGCACATTTTAGGCTTGCGCATTAATAGACAGCAATAAAGATACTAAAACTTTCTCAAATGATTTATTACGATGAGTTTAATGAAGCTTGGTTCTATTGAACTTCCAATGTAAATCTCTGAAGGGATCAAAAGTTTCGCGAGCACAACTTCATTAATTATTGGGTATTAATAAGTCTGCAGGAATTTTTTTGGCTCACAAAGTTAATTATTAGCCAAACCCAATGAATATTAATTGTCGCAAGTGCTTGAAATAAAAACTTTGACTACATACTTTGCTACATCAAAGTACCTAAACAAATATCAAAGAACACAGTGAGTTTATTGTTCGATGGAAGGACTTTTGCTGAGAGTACTTCAAGATAAAAGAAGGAAACAATGCAGTAAAGCGAAGAGTAAAGAGTGATTGTCAAGCAACAATCGATATATTTTTAATTTTCCGTTTAATTTGTTTTGTGGCTTACAAGAAAGTAGCAACAACATTGATTCATTTTTGCTTTTAATGGAGAAAATAATAGCAAAGTAGCTAAGACGAAGACCTTATTTAAGCCTTTATCTCTTTTTTCATCACTTTGTATTGAAAATACCTTTTCTTAGACAAATACTGCGAGTTTCTGGGTTAAAGGAAGCAAAAAACAAATAAAAATGAAATTCCTTTAAAAATGTTGCAGCATTAAATTTATCATAGCAGAATGAGAAGAACATACTTATGTTTTTTGTGATTTATAACCTTTGCGATTGCTGGAATGTCCCAAAAGTACTAAAAGAATTGTTCTTCCTTCCTCACCTCATAAAAATTCCTTCCTTATTTCAAATTCAATTCTAATTTATTATTTTTTTTTGTAACTCAATTTGTGACTCAAAAGTAATGATACTTCTTTACAGATATTATATCTTATTTTCATCTCCTTTATGTTCTTTATTGCTTATTCTCTGTTGATTTGAATACCAAAATCTTGTCATTTTAATGGTCAAAGCTGAAGGTTATTTTTGAAATCTGAACTTTTTTTTTAAGAATGAGCACTTGGGATGTATCTTCCTATGAAACAATTTCAAAATATTTATTTTTGTGGTCAAAGACGATTGGAAAGTTTGATTGCCTTGACTTTATTCTAACGTCTTGTTAAATAGACCCTTTTTAAGCTATTCCCTAATGGACGAAAAACATTTATTTTAAAAATTGATGAAGATTTACTTTCAAATAGATTTTTGTGTTCCTTAATAGATTAGAAAGTGCTTTATATAAAGCGATGGGAACTAGTAGGTTAAGCCGAATTTTTCATTAATTTTCTTGAATCAGGGAAGTTCATCGCACCAAAAACCAACTATAAATTATGTCAAAATTAACATTTAGTTGCTGCGAGCTAGATCATGTCAGATTAAACATTCTGACAGTCAGCATCAATTCCAGAAAATTCATTTAAATGATAATAAATTTTAAATAGACATTAGCTCATGTTGCTCATTATTTTTGAGTACTTACCATTAATCTTATATTTTAAATTTTGAAAATGGACACATTTTAAATTTTCATGTCTTGAGTGAAAAAAGTTGAAAGCATGACAAAGTAGACACTCGTAAAATGAAAGACACACGATGAATATCATTTTAATAATAAAATTATTTGAATAAAAAGAGAATTGAAGAGAGAAAATTGTAAAGGAAGACAAGAATTGAATTTTCTTTCCTCCCATTCCATTCTTAATAAAATCAGGCTACATTTTATGTTTGATGTGTGATCCTAAAATAAACATTATAGTAAAAAAAAATTCACATTAAAAAATTTATGATGAATGTCTGTATGCTCATAATAATATACATTTATATATACATTCTTTGAAAGTCGTTAAAGGCTGCGAATGAAAAGGATGTTTTTAAGGAAGAAAATTTAATTAGTCGCTATAAATTGCACCAGTTGAACGACAGAGAAGACACAAAGATCCGTCATGTGATCTAAAAGATACATACGGAGTGAGCTTAATTTCATTTCCTGACAAACATTCATTAGAATGTGAAGCTAAAAGAGACGAGAAGCGACAAAGTGTATGAACGTTAAATGCCATCATTATGACAACAAATCAGCGGTGGAATGGGAATGCTTATCAGACGAATTAAATCTTTATTAAAAATATATTTCTGTGTGTTTTGTGGTGCTAAAAGAGCCAAAAGCGCTTTTATAAGTTATGACAAGTATTATCACGAGAATTATTGTCTGATTACACTGTACATGAAACTGAAACTTTTTATACAGAATATCACTTCTGAATATGGAGAACTGCTGAAGGGTTTTTAACTTTTTACATACTAGAGCAGTGTTTCTCAAACATTTTTGGTCCACGGAATATTTTTACATAAAAATTTTCGCGATTCATGACCTTTTTGTAGTCATAAAACATGAAAAATCTAGGTCCAATTCACCTCAATCTAGAAATCCCTAAAATGCAGCTACCCTAATATGCAGATAGTACTGCCAAGATGCAGATGGTACTGCTAAAGTGCAGATGAAATTTATTTTCCCTAAAATGCATATGAAATGCTGTTTCTTTAAAAAAGGTATAATGCAGATGATTTTTATCGTATAAAGTGCAGATAAGATTCTGCCCTAATGTAGATCGTATAATTTTATTAAAATACATCATATTCGATAACTTTTTTTTTGATACGTGTTAATAAAAAAAAAAAATCCATACAAATTTTCACCTTCAAGTGATTTAAAATCCCAAAAAATCCCCATACAAAATGATTTAAATCATAAATCAAAAATAAATCACTTGGGTAATGTTTGCAATGTATTCAAAATGCATTTTTGTTTTTCTGAACTTTTTTAATAACAAAACTAGTGTATCGGGTAGAAACCCAATGCGGATATATTCGCACCGTACCATCAAAAGTCTTGTAGAAAGACCAAGCTTTGCTCAGTATTAATTTGAAAGTATAAATCCTGACGAACCAGCTGAGCTGTGCTCAGCATATGTTTGGAGGTTTAAAGCTTAACGAGCATTCTTTAAAGTTTTTTAAAAACATTTTTCATCCAAAGTTTAATTTTATAAAAATCACAGTCAACTTTTGTTTTAAAAAATTTGTAAGAAAGGAAAGTTTTCTGCTTTTTCTGAAGCAACGACTATTCCTACCTTGCCCAAAAACTATACAGCTATTCTATAGAGCAGCACTGATCAAATGTAAAAAACTAGAAGTCTCTACGATGTCTCGTTATTGAGATTTCTTGCTGATTAGCTTGCTTGTTTGCTTGTTTGCTTACAGAAAGCGTATTTTGCGATTTTCTCAGCAATGCTGCAACCAATTTGAAATCTGTTTTTTTGCAAAAGGTGTGAAATTACAGGCACAAACTTTTCATCTCTGAACATTTTAAGCTATCTTGTTCCATATCCTCACAAAATTCAAAAAACTGATTTTTCAATCTGAACAAAACCAATAGACGTGAACACACGTGAACACGGTGTGAATATAAAAAGTTTTAGAAGTAAAGTTTGTACCTGAAATTTGACATCATTTTCAAAAAATAGATTTCAAATTGGTTGCAGCATTGCTGAGAAAATCGCAAAATACGCTTTCTGTAAGCAAGCAAACAAGCAAGCAAGCAAGTTAATCAGCAAGAAATCTCAATAACGAGACATCGTAGAGACTTCTAGTTTTTTACATTTGATCTGTGCTGCTCTATAGAATAGCTGTATAGTTTTTGGGCAAGGTAGGAACAGTCGTTGCTTCAGAAAAAGCAAAAAACTTTCCTTTCTTACAAATTTTTTAAAACAAAAGTTGACTGTGATTTTTATAAAATTAAACTTTGGATGATTAAAAACTTTGGTTTTTAAAAAACTTTAAAGAATGCTCGTTAAGCTTTAAACCTCCAAACATATGCTGAGCACAGCTCAGCTGGTTCGTCAGGATTTATACTTTCAAATTAATACTGAGCAAAGCTTGGTCTT